TTGTATAGATTCGTTGATGATTAATGCAGATTGTTACGACGCGTCAAACTGCGGGGTTTAGGGGCTAGGTGGCAGAAAGAATGTTTTGGGCGGTAATACTTGTAGGGTGGTTAGCAGAATGGAAGTGCACTAACAAAAAAAATTGGGCCAATAGATGGGCTTAAAAGTGATGCCCGGATAAGAGTGATGCCCGTGTATCAATTCGTGATGCCCGTGTATCAATTCCCTTTAAAAATAAGCTTTACTTTTATAATTTAAAAATATAGCTTAATATCTTTAAAAAGTAAAAGCTAAATAGATTAAATCTTAATATCTAATTCTTAGCTTATACTTCTATTAGTATAATCTCTTAAAGCTTATAACTTAGAATTAAAGCATTTAAGCTCTATTTTATTAAAAAAGTTAGTAATTACTATATAAAACTATCTTAAGTTATTTTATTTAATAGCTTAAAGTTTATCTCTTTAAAAGTTACTAGAAGTAATACTAAAGTTTTTTATAAGAGAGATTATCTCTTTAATAGTTTTTTTTAATATTACTTATTTATCTTAGCTATTAGCTAAGTTCTATAAGATCTCTAATATTTTATTTTACTTCTCTAAGAAATTAAAAAGCTAGTTTAATACTTTAAATACTTCTAGTAGCTTATAGATTATTATAATAATATATTCGATATAGTTATAGAGATTTACTACTAATATTTTCTTTAGGTTTTTTAAAGATATATACTTTAAAAGCTTATTACTATATTAAATAAAAACTATAGCTTTCTCTTTTAGTAATACTATCTTTGTATAAGTAAAGCTTATGGGTTATAAAATAAGTTAGTATTAAATAGGTTTTAATATTCTTACTATTTATCAGTTATATATTATACTATATACTACTAAAAATAGATAGATTAATTTATCTTAATAGGGTGATTCTTTTATAATATTTTTAGGTGGTATTCGAATTGATTTGTAGGTGCTGATTTCAAAAATTTGATTTAAGCTTATGTAGTTGTTTTCTCAGGTACAGCAATGCCTCGTTCTAGCGGTGGAGTTGGGCTGGAATGTCGAGGTGCAGATTGGGGGAAAGTGACGTTGTCTCGCTGTCGACTCGATGTAGTTGTGAGAAGTATCTTTTTGGCGGCACAGTGGGCAAAAGTACATGTCGCCCGCTGAAAGGAGGCTCAAGTTTCGGTTGCCGGCGGCTCGAGGCCAAGGACCCCACTGAACAGCCTCAGGTTCTATGATGACAACCTCCCGGTCGGTACCTCAGGACAGACATAGGGAGAGGGACCATCACCTCCAGGGCAGTGCATGAACATCTCAACAAGGCTGAACACTGCCCCACGCTCTCTGCCGGGGAAATCGTCTCGTCTCTCGCTCGCCTGGTTTCGGCTCCTGTGTCTGGTCCAGTCGGGACGTTGCTCTGGCTGTTCCCTTGAATTTCGACTGAAGGAGCCTCGTCTCGTCTATGGCCTCTAACACCGTCCCTGCCTGGCTGCTGTCTGCCTTTGAAGCATGTACCTTTTCTTGTCAGGCGAGGGGAGGTACCTGCACACCTGCAGTGGTCACAGTAGTGGTGCTGGTAAGAGAATGCCTGCTTCTCCCTGTCATTGGTGCAGAGCCAGTGCCTTGAGGAAGGCACTTGCTTAAGCGCCGTCTTTGATTCGGGAAGCAGCGAGCACAAGTACCCTCCCTCCGAAAACATGTGCAGCGATACTTTCCCCATCCTCCTCCCCGGCATGTACTTCGTCATTCTTGACTCCAAGTACGACGGAGTAAAGTACCCTCCTTCACCCCTCGTCTGTACTTGTACCACCCTCGAATACTCCTACAACAGCGAATCGACGGTACCTCGACATCCATCACAACCCAAAGAGCAAAAAAGACCCCCATTATCGTTGCATTTCCAGCATTGCGCCTGCCCTCGTCTGCTTTACACCGTCGCGACTGCTGCTCTTCCGTCGAGCTTGTTTGCTCGGACTCCCGTCTGCAGTCTGAAGATCAACATCGCGAAGCCGCGAAGAGCAAAAAGCACTGGCAGCGGGAGGTTGGTCACGCGACGACCCTTTATTACCCATTACTTTCCTCGATACCTGCGCCCAAGTACTGTACCGACCAGTCAAGTCATTCAGCGACTACCTACTACCTACCCACCTATTTACGGCACGCCCTACGTCGAGTCACAGGTGCTGCCTCCTCACGTTGCCCAAAAGGTACCTGATCGATTCCCAACTCCGCCTTTGGCCGTTGCTGCTGCTGCTGCTGCTGCCATTGCTGGCGTCGTCTCCCCCTCGACTTGCCATCTCAAAGACTGACTGCGGGAAATAAACAGCTTCATGTCAAAGGGCCAAGCAGTCAACAAGCAACGACGACCCCAAATCTCCAACTCTCCACGAACGCGAGACAGCCCGAGTCTCCCTCCAGACGCCGCCTGCCTTTGAGTCAAGGCCCCGTCGAGTTCCAGCGCAAGCCCAGGGGTGTGTCGGGGTGTCACCTCCTGCCCTCGCTCTCTCCACCGCACCGGCACCAGGCATTGCAGGCCCCCAACCTAACTGCCTTAGCCTCTCTCGCCCCGTCCGCCGTCGTCCCTCGTCGTGTCACAGTCGCCCTTCGCCCTGGAGAGCCTCGACTGCTATCTGTCTGCTGGAGGAATCACTGCTGCCGCCCGCTGTTGGCTCCCTGATGCTACTTCGTCGCCCAGCGTTGCCGCCGCCGTTGTTTCTATCGTCGTCCACCACCTCAACGACATCTTCCTCTCCGGCCTCTCCTCTCTGTCGACCTTGTCTTGCGCTGCTCTTATCCCTGACTCTGTCGTCCGCCTCTGCCACCGCCCAAAGACACGCCTCCGACATTGAGTTCAGCGCCCGTCCACAACCTCCACATCCACGTTGGGCAACACAGAGACCAGATTACCTACCTTTTCGTCTCCTCTCTAAACCCACCCGTGTCTCTCCCTGACGTACGTCGACCCCAACCCGCCTCGCCTCGTCTCCTCCTACGTCTCGTCACAGTTGGCGCTCCATCCGTCACACACAACAAAAAACCATACATTTGCCCTGGTTGCCCTCAGCCCGGCACAGCGCTGCAGCACCAAGCAAGCACAGGTACCTCCAACCCCCGTCTTGCTGCTCGTCATCCGCACCAAGAGGTCAAGGTACCTAACCCAACCAACGCGGCCCAGCAAACTACTCCTCCTCCTGCTGCTTGCTCCTCATCCCCCGTCCGTACCTCACCGTCCGGAGCCTCTCCATTACCATTTCCCGTGGGTCAGGCGTAAGCGTCAGCGTCCACCATCGTCCTCGTGGGACTGGTCCGCCTTTACTACTCAAACGACCTTTTTGGTGACAAATCCTACGGTTCCGCGACAAATCGACAACAAACATCACTCACTCCGGCCCCGTCATCCACACGCTCGTCGACGACCATTATCTCATCGGGGGCTCGACTCCCCGACCTGCCCAAAGCCCGAAAACCCCGCGACTCCCTCGATCGGCCGACCGACCCTTTGCTCGCTCGTCCTTACCCGCTGTCGACGTCTTTGCCGCCCATTTCTCCCACGATGAGGCCCGCAGCCCCCTCAATAGAAATCATGGCTGCCCAGTCAGTCACCCCGGACTCCCGCTCCTCCTCGTCCACAAACTCCCCTGCCCCTGCCGACAACGAGGAGTCGGATTTCTTCATCGCCGGAAACGACTCGCAATCGTCACTCGGCGTGCCCAACATCGAAGACATGCAGGTTAACGACGACCCGTGTCAGCCCGCCGTCAACCGGTTGCCCAGCGAGATCCTCATCTCCATCTTCGCCAAGCTTAATGGTCCCAGCGATCTCTTCCACTGCATGCTGACGTGCAAGCGATGGGCAAAGAACTCCGTCGATTTACTGTGGCATCGCCCGGCCTGCACAAACTGGAAGAACCACATGTCTATCTGCAGCACGCTTGGAATGACTACGCCCTTCTTCGCCTATCGGGATTTTATCAAGCGCCTCAACTTAGCCGCGAGCCCGCTCGCAGACAGAATTAACGATGGGAGCGTCATCCCTTTGTCTGTCTGCAAACGCGTCGAGCGACTCACGCTCACCAACTGCAGACAGTTGACCGACAACGGCTTGACTCAGCTGGTGCAAGGCAGCGCGTCGTTGCTCGCCCTCGATATTTCCGGGGACAGAAACATTTCCGATGTCTCCATCAGAGCAATCGCAGATAACTGCCGTAGGCTGCAGGGACTGAATATTTCCGGTTGCACCCAGATCACGAATGATAGCATGATCGTGCTGGCCGAAAGTTGCAAGTTCATCAAGAGGGTACGTTTACTTCCACGTTGACTCACCAAAGCCTGACCCGGCTCTCGCCTGGTCCACCATGGTACCGCCTTGCATTTTGGGACTTTTGCTGATACGACTCCTGCTCCAGCTGAAACTCAACGAATGCGCCCAGCTACAGGACGTTGCGATTATGGCCTTTGCAGAACACTGCAAGAACATTCTCGAGATCGACCTCCACCAGTGCTCACAGATCGGAAATGACCCTATCACCGCCCTCATCGCGAATGGGCAGTCCCTCCGCGAACTCCGCCTCGCCGGCTGCGAGCTCATCGACGACAGTGCATTCCTATCCCTGCCGCAGAACAAGACTTATGACCACCTCCGCATTTTGGACTTGACCTCATGCTCAAGACTTACCGACCAGTCTGTGCAAAAGATTATCGAGGCCGCCCCTCGGTTGCGCAACCTGGTGCTCGCAAAGTGCCGCAATATCACCGATGTCGCCGTTAACGCCATTGCGAAGCTCGGCAAAAACCTGCACTACTTGCACCTGGGTCACTGCGGCCATATCACAGACGAAGCCGTCAAGCGTCTCGTCCTGGCATGCAATCGTATACGATACATTGATCTTGGATGCTGTACACTTTTGACAGATGACTCGGTGATGCGCTTGGCGCAGCTGCCCAAGCTCAAGAGAATCGGTCTCGTCAAATGCAGCAACATTACTGACGAGTCTGTGTTCGCCCTCGCTCGCGCAAACCACCGTCCTCGGGCACGTAGGGATGCCAACGGCAACATTGACGAGTACTATGCCAGCAGCTTAGAGCGCGTCCATCTGAGTTACTGCACAAACCTCACATTAAAGGTTAGCAACCCTTGGTTCCAAAGATTGTACTTGACTAACAAACAATAGAGCATTATCAAGCTGCTCAACTACTGCCCGCGCCTCACGCATCTCAGTCTGACAGGAGTTACTGCCTTTCTCAGGGAAGAGTTTGCAGAGTTTTGCAGACCTCCACCACCTGGTACGTTCCGCTGATGCCGACAGACTGGATGTTTGCTAACTGTATTAGAATTCACCGACCACCAGCGCGGCGTCTTCTGCGTGTTCTCTGGCAACGGCGTGCAAAAGTTGCGTGAATACCTCAACACCTCGGCAGAGTACGAGGGCTTGCGCGATTCTCCTGGCCCGCGATTCTCCGGCGGCTTCTTGGTCCGCCGTAACATCGGTGCCCATGCTTCCACTGCTGCAAATGCAGGAACGGTGAACGGCGACGCCGAAGGAGATGATGGCGAGGCCGCGGAAGACGACGAGTTCGAGGGTCTCGACGGTAGCGAGATGGCTGTTGATGGACAGCCACTGCTTGCACAGAATCTCGTCAACGGTGACGCACAACAGGATGGCCAGGCTCCGCCGCCCCCGCCAACCCATGTGCCCCCAACTGGAGCAGTGCCAATGTTTGCTCAACCACTTGGCCAGGCCCCGTTGTTGTTCAGCCCTACCAGTCCTAGCTTCCCCCAGTCGGCTCGTTCGCCGACAACAGCGGGTCCCGCGAATCATCCACCACCGTTGGTCGTATCTAGTCACTACTCGCCGACGTCTCCAACAGCCACGGCAGGACCCAGCTTATCAACCGCCACTGCCGTCTCGCCCCAGGGAACGAACCTAGGTTTCCCCGCGTACACCAACAGACGGCCTGCACCGCTCGGTGCCAGCACTGCGTCAATGGAGGCGTCGATGTTGAGCCCCGCATCGCATCGCAGCCGTCCGGCCAGTGTCATTTCCATGGAAGCGTCAATGCTTGGACCTGCGGACTCAGACTTGGCGGAGCCAACCACACCGAGCGCGGTGCAGCATTCTTAAAGCGTCATTGACGAATATGGACTTGGACGAAGCCAGCTCGAGTTCGAAGGGCAGAGGTTTTGACATGTACGGCATGAGATACGCAACGGCAATTATACCCAGGAGCGCGCGGAAAACACGGAACACACCACTAGACTGGCACAAGGGACGTGTCGATTAGCCTTTTGACCCTTGGTTGGGCTTTTATTTTGGTCCTTGTAGCACTTTTTTGGCATTTCTTGGAGGAGAGAGGTTTGGGGCTACATCTCTCCCCGAGGCGTTGACTGGTGTCTTCCTTCAGGGTTAACCCCCCTTGGTTCTTTCGGTTCTCTTACACAAATTTTCATCATGCGCATTTTTTACCCTCAGTGGTATGAGTCACACGGAGGCGATGGTAGGGGGTTAGACATTGGGCCTTGGTTTTGTTTTCCAGCGCTTCCAGCCTTCCCAGTTTGGTATCACAAGGGAGTGGCGAGGAGCAGAAGTATGGCGACGGGGGCGAAATCAAATATTGACGAATAACAATGCATACGTTACTTTGGTCCAGGAATGAATTTCGGCGACATCACATGGTATGACAGCCCGAGGTTATGATCATAGAGACTGTAGTAGGGTGGTTCAGACCGCAAGTCTGCTTGTAGGCCTTTTATTTAGGGGTATTCTATCATCTACATAACTCCCAATGCTATCCCCGCTGCCAGTGATTGACTGACTACATACGACCATACCCATTGGAGACGTATTCTCCATCCGAATGCGCTATCGTCTCGCTGACCTTCAACCGTGTGAAGTAAATGTCTATAGTAACAGATGTTGAAATCGGCGCTCCCAACGCGTCGCTTACCAAAAGCCCATGATGGCTGGGTTCTGATTCTGGGCCTTCAGTTCCACGCACTTCTGCGTCACGAACCAGTGCACCAGGTCTCGGGCCGCCAGGGCATCCTCCAGGCTGTCGTGGCCCATCTTGCCAACCTGGATTTGCCGACCCAGAAGGTCATGGGTGAGGTTCTTGAGCGAAAGGCCGCTGCCCTTTTGCTTTTTCGCCTTGTCCTCCCTGCCCTTCTGCTTGCCTTTCGAGTTCTCATTCTCTGACTCAAAAGAGATGAGATCTTCGTCAGGTACCTCAGTCTCTTGGATGCTCTTAGCTTCCTCGAGAGCCAGGGCCTTTTTTCTCTCCTCTTCCTCCTCCTCCTCTCGCTTCTCCTTCTCGGCCTTGGCTGCCGTAGCGAGCAGCATCGAGTCGACGACGAGGGGATGAATCCAGCGCAGCGAGGTAAGATCGTTGTTCACGCCGTGTCCGACGACGATCGTCTCAGGGCCGACCCAACGCCATACCTCTTGCCGCGCCGCGGCCACGCCTCCGGTGATACACTTGCCCTTCCGCCGGGCCTCGTCCATGGCCTGGCGGGAAACGCCAGAGTAGCGAGTGTTGAAGTGCGACATTCCAACCGCAGGGAAAACAAGGCTGTCCAGTAGAATCTCGGCGGTGAAGTAGTCGACGAGGGTCAGGCGAATGAGCTCTGATTCTCCATCAAATGCGACGCCCATCTCGCAGTCTATGGCTACTGCACGGCGCGACTGGCGGGGGCCCGAGGGCGTGTGGGCGTCTGTCAAAGAGAGTGAGATGAGTGGATCCGGGTTGAGGTCGACAAGGGTCGACGGGGGTGTCCTATGGTATTGGTGACGATCGAAGAGCTCTTTTTGGGTGTACGTCCTCGTGAGATGCTCCGGGGCAAAGGTGCAGCCGGGGGTGGAGGCGAAGGTCCGGCAGCAATTCCAGTGCTTTGCGGTTAGTTTAGGGGGCAAAGTGCAGGCGGAACTGGGGAATTACCATGTTGAAAACGCGGCCAGTGTGATATCGGCACTTCAGAATGGGTTTCTTCTTGTCCTTGTCTTCCTTGCCATCGTCCCTGTCGTTCCCGTCCTTCTTGGCGTCTCCCTGGATGTCGTCCAAGTCGACGATGGGAATGGACCTGGGCTTGGGGTTGGGCTTGTACGCTGCGCTATGCTTACGAGGATTTCTATTCCCCTTTTTTCCATCTTGGGCGTCCCCCTTGTACTTGTTTCCCCCCTTATTACCTGGAAAATATTAGCTACCGTGCTACGACGAGACGTTAGGGCAGAGGTTACTCACAACGTGCATTACATCGTCGGCAGCGCTTCTTGCCCTCGACGTCTGACAGAGACAGCTGAGCAATGATGAAACCACTTTTGACGAGAAGGTCTTTGTGGTGCGTCATAGACCGCAGCTGCTGGATGTACTCCGGGGTTGGTTCGATGGCTGCCGAGGGAGGGCCGTAGGGATTCCGGGCAGGAGCCTGAGCAGCAACTCGCGTCGACACCTGAGGTACGAAGAAGGACATTTTGAGGTATGGCAGTGATCTGAGTTTGGATGAGTGCGCGCAAGGTAGGCAGAAGATATGTAGTGAAGGTGTGAGGTCTTTGAATATGAAGTCGGAGTTTGTGAATTGCGAAAAGAGGGTTGTTTTTCAAGATGCAGGCGGAAAGATGCAAGTCGCCGAGGTGGTAGGCAGCGAAGTTTTGCCACGATGTGAAGGAAGTCGCGAAAGGGTGAAGTGAGGGAGGTGAGGTAGGTGTAGCGGTGGACGATGGCAGGTGGGTTCCTGCGTGCGCCTGCGTTTGTCTCAAATGGGCTGTCGCGTCTCTCGACCGTTTGCTCTTACCCGTTCCGTCGACAGTCGACTCAATTGAGTGAGGAAGGTGTGCCTACCTGTCGTCTACCCTTCTTATTTCCCAATTATTCTCATGCAAGGTTCTTAGCATCGTTGTGGGAAGGCGCAATCACAGATCCGGCGAGGCGCATCCAGGAAAAGGAAGAACAGAAGGACCCACCTCGGTTGATGTTTTTTTGACGCCGGAAGTCGCGATGGGCCTCCCGTCACTGCCCCCGGCCTCCGATCCGGCCAACTCAGCCACGCAACAGGTGCATTCAGAATAACTTGGTGAGGCATATTTGAGAAAATTTGTTGTCGATGCATGTGGAGGCCCTCAAGTGTAAATACTGGCACGGCTGCAGCGGTCCTCGGACAGGAAGCCGCTTAGACCTTGGCCAGTTCCGTTTATTGAGAGGACCATGCAAGCCTCGTGAACTCAAAAGCCTAGCTGGGCATTCATATCAATTGATTTTAATTCATATCGAGTAATGTCAATATCTACGATGACCTTAAGTGTGGACCATGCACAAGCCGGGGCGGGCACGAAACGCAGTCTGGTGGTCTGACACTTCGCTCGATGGCTACCACCAGTAACATCGTGACTACATGAGTTCTCGTCACGTCTGGGGTAGCATAGTATTAGAGGTTGATTAAAGGGAAATGAGACATACCAATCTTTTGTTTTGGGACTTGGACTGTCGTTCATGAAGTATTGGTTTGATTTTGATTATGTATATCTAGTCCTCCCTTGGCCTCGACGGTTGCCATTTAGAACTTTGAAATAAAGAAGGAATAAATTCGAACAAAGCCGTCAATTGCTACTGCACGACCAAATTCGTCATAAACCAGCTTTCATAACACCCAAGACCACCCTTGAATACTTTAAGTATCTACAGACCCATCTAGACACTCCATAGAGTTGGAGTCAATCTCAGGAGACCCCTCCGGAAGCCCGGCGCACGGCCGACGTCACATCACTTCGAGACCTAGCACGCTTTTGTAAGAGAATCAGTTTGAGTAGATGGAAGGTTATTGAAATAAACCGCGCAGGCACCTATGCTAGGCAGCTTCGTTGGGTGTTGTGGCAGTTGTCATCACAGCTGGTTGGGATTAGCAAGGTGTTAGGCCTTTGCCAATTGTAGTTCAAGACAGCAAGCACTGATCCTGTATGGAGTAGTTTACAACAGTAAAAAAAATCATTATAATGAAGGTTTTATTGATTTGCAGAAGGGCTTTTCTCTTACAAGAGCGAGACGATGTCCTTCGTGATGGTCTCGGTGAAGACCGACCTCACCGAAAGAAGCTCACCGAGCTTCGGTGCACGGATCTCCCATACCAAAACCCTGGCACGTGATGCGAAATGCAGCGAAGCGCGTTTGTGGGTCCATTCTCTCAAACAGAGCACAATCATGGCGTCGGGCTGTTGTGATCTAGTGTATGTTTGTCGCGTCTCGATTCATCTCACGACCTTCGATCAACAAGGCTGATAACATAACAAATATGTTTCGCGTTGCTTCAAGACATATGAAAGCTAATTCGAAGCAGCGTGTAACACTAGCAGCTTCTATAATTCCTAGTACGTCTCCACGCCACGACTGTCAACATGCCGAGTCGCGACACGACTCAGTATGTGCATCGACCGCAGTATGAGCAGTCCTGCGAACAAGCAGTGACATCATCGCCGACATCTTCACCATCGCTCCAAGTCAGATCGCCTCCAGCTACTTCATCCACATCCTCGTCCTCGCTGCTCATCACAGGCTGCCCCAGCCATGATGCCCATTTCACCGACACGCCTTCCGAGAACGCCGGAGTCACCCCTGAAGTCTGGGCTCGGATCTCAAGTCTGTCCAGAAGTTGCCGGCTGATCTCCAGCTTTCCGCCTGGCTGAGTCCGGGCCAGGCCGATGATGCGATGCAGTAGCGCGCCCAGCTGCGAGAGCTTTCCGTTCATCTCCCTCTCCCAGTCGCGGATCTTCTCCGACACATCCATGACCTCGATGTCATTGAATCTGCCGCGATCGTGGTATGCGAGTACGAAGTTTGGTATCTGTGCAACCCACATACGAGGAAGCTCCTCGCCCAGGAAGTCCTGACCTCTGCGCATATTAGAACGCGTCTTGAGATCGAAGACCGCCGACTGAGGCACGTCGAATCCACCTGGCTGTATGTGCAGCTCAGACGAAGGGACAGGGTTCACGGAGGTTACCCCATTACCCTCGAAGCTGGCGATGAGTTCTTCAAGAGTGCTCCCACGCCCCTTTCCTAGAAGCTTTGGCTTGCTTGACGAAGTCAACTTGTCTCTGAGATAGCCATCGCCCTCGTGTCGGACAATGCACCTAAGACCGCCAAAGGTGTATTGCAAGATTCTCTGATGAGATGCTGAGCCCCGTACATCGGCGTCCCAGGTTGTGTAGGCCTCTGGAAAAGTGTGGCCGTAGCCTCGGACATTCGGTATCGTCTCCTTGGGCGAGTTCTCTCTGCGGATCAGGTGTACGGTGTTGCCAACTACCTCGACGAGCATTCGAAATGGCTTTTCGTCGCCCCGAATGAAACGAAGAAGATTTCCAAGCGTACTCCCGCACGCAACGATGTCTACCCCTCCTTCGAGAGGCTCCGGGTGCGTTGCAAAGACGGCTTGAACCATGGGCTCCATCGGATGGGCGGGATACCGGGCTGCGTTCTTGTCGCGATAGTAAACACCATCGTCCTCCCGCAGTTTGACAGGCACTGCGAGCGGTGTCCACATGGGTGGTGCACCTTGTCCGATCAGCAGGAGTAGTTAACAAACTGCCTCAAAACATACCAGGAACAAGGATACTTGGTGTCGCTTGGTCAAGCCAGTTGTATGAGGCGAGGAGACTGCACTCAGTCACCCGAGCGGATGATGCAAATGTCGTTGCAGGCTTCGAAAGCTCAGCGATGCTTATCGACTGAATGATGGCCCCGAAGGGTGGAGCTGGTGATGATTCCTCGAGCTCAGGCCGACGCCGGCGATAGTTTCGTTGGTATGCGGTTTGATACATGCTGGTCCTCATCATTCTGGTGTTTTCGTCGCTTGCAGACGTGTTTCTTGAATTGAGACTGATCAGTGATCGCATCTTGGGCTGGAGTATGGCGCATACCGGGCTCTCCTTATGAAGCGCTGCCCACCCTGCAGTCTGCCTTGGGTGTGCATAATGGGCCACTCAGAGGCTGTGATGCTGGAGGCCGACCAAAACCCCAACCGCGCCACCAACGGCCGTCCAGATTGGCCTTCGATGGATTTCTGTTGGTGCCTTTTTCTACTTTCCCGCGTCATCTCATTATCTTTCCAACAAAGCTGTTGGACGCCGAAGCCTAACCTTGTCTCGCCGGCCTGATGCTTCACATGTGATAAGTACAGGCAACCCCTCGTGAAATCTACACTTCTCATCTCGTCAATGCTACATCGCTGCCGATTTCTGTTCCAAGACTAGGAAGCCACTCGGAAAGATCTTCTACAGAAAGGAAGATCTAGACACAAATCCACATAGCTATTGCTTCGTACAAGCTAGTATTCCAGTCCCCGGACCTCTCTCGCTACTGGAACAAACCCGCTCAGCATGACTGCCACACAAGTCCCTCAGACCGACCCGCGTCGCGCTACTCGTCTCTTGAAAGTCTTCAGAGATGTCACCAAAGGAGGACGCACCCTCACGACGGCCGCTGATGCCCGTCTCTTCCTCGAAGCGATTCGGACGAACGAGTCCCCGGCCGCATGCTTGGAGATCATCACAGCCAGCAATGCCGCTCAGAACGTTCTTCGTCACAGCCTTCGAATCGACTCCTCGGTCTCTTTCATCCGCTCGCATGTGCTCTCTTTCGTCGCTTATCTGAGCGAACCCGCCGTCAAGATGGCCTACAATGGCCAGCTGCTCCATCAGGTTCTCCAGCTCATCATTCAACCTCCCGTCCTCTGGGGCAATCTTTTCAAGGCCTACGAGCAAGCTCACTTCAATGAGGATGATCTTCGTGTCTTTGCATGGCTGTGCTTCGAGCTTGCAAGCATTCAGGGCAAAGACCATGATAGTATCATTGGCGACATATCGTCTGCGCTGGACCAGAACCCATTCAAAGAAACTCAGGATCATAGGACCTGCGACCTGACTTATAGGATCAAGAAGGTTCTTGCCCTGAGATCTTCTGCCAGCCCCGGAGAAAACCTTGAAACTGCTGGTGGCCGCCACGATAACGACTTTGCCAACTTCCGAGAGATCTCAATCTTCCCCACTAGCGACGAATTCTATTCCAGCGAAGTCCCATTCTACAGACGGGCATCCGAACTTGCCGCCATCGGGGCTGCTGACCGACCGCGACTCCATCTCGACAACCAGTTCCGTCTCTTGAGAGAGGACTTGCTTGGCGAACTCCGCGATGACCTGAAGGTGGCCATCGGAAGGAAGAGAGGAAAGAAGAGTCCTCAGATCCTCAGCGGACTTGTCCCGTTCGGTATCGATACTGGCGATGAAAAACGAGGACGCTCGACTGCCTTGCTTCTTCATTGTCATTCCGGATTGGAAATATTGCGTCCTCTTTCTCTCGCCAAGCGCAAGAAGTTCCTGGAAGACAACAAAGGGTTCCTTCGTCACCAATCTTTCGGCGCTCTTTGCGGCGACAACAACATCGTCGCCTTTGCATTCCTGGTCAGGGATGTTGACCAGCTAGTGAAAGGACCGCCTGCAATTGCTTTGCAGTTTACTAGCAGCGAGGCCCTCGCTAGAGCCCTGAACGCTCTTCAATCACCCAAGGACCTCCGGTTCGTGCTGGTGGACACCCCCGTCTTTGCCTATCAACCAGTTCTCGAATGCTTGCAAGATATTACTGAGATGCCCATGGAGGGAGGCCTTCTCCACCTACCAGACGATGATGAGGATAGCCGGCCTAAGCCTCTCGAGCTCTCGCCGAGAGCACAGGCTCATGTGAAAATATTGGAGAAGATGATAGAGCGAGGCTCATCAGTGAAGGGTCTCGCCATAGGCGGCAAAAACTTCCGGCTCGATGATTCCCAGACCAAGTCTGTGCTGCATGCGCTTCAGAGCCCAATCGCCCTCATTCAAGGCCCGCCTGGTATGTATTTCACCTTCTAGGCTGCTGTGCCTACACTACCTATATCGGAGAGACATTGTGACTGACAAACCAAACCAAATAGGTACTGGGAAATCCTTTGTTGGCGCATTGGCGGCAAGGATTCTTCGGGACAACAGCAAGCGTATCCTGGTTCTCAGCTACACCAACCACGCTCTCGACCAATTCCTCGAAGACTTGATGAACATCGGTATCCCGTCTGGTGACATAGTGCGCCTCGGCTCCAAGTACAATGAAAAGACGGAGAAGCTGCTACTTGACAAGCAGCTAAGGAGCAGCTCTTTCAAGAAGACTCGGGAGGCATGGATGATGATCGACGCGGCGAAGTCCGATTTGGCCGACATACGTGAGGAACTCCAGAATGCTTTCAATGCCCTTGCCAAGGGCAAGGTCAGCTTTGTCGACCTGTTGGATGCCCTCGAATTTTCGGACGACGACCAAAACTTTTACGATGCGTTCGCTCTCCCAGAGCAAGAGGATGGCTTTCAACTTGCAGGAGGCTCAAGAAGGGTCATGTCGGCCGACTATCTGATAGAACGATGGGCACAAGGCAAAGATGCTGGCGAGCTGAGGAAGACAATTTCAAAGGGCAGCAAATAAATTTGGCAGCTTCCCATCGCGCAAAGACATCAACATGTCGACAATTGGGTCCGGCGCCTACGGGCAGAACAAATCGAGACAGTCTGGCGCCTCGCGGAGCGTTTCAACCAAAGCCAAAGCCAGCTCGAGACGCTGTTCAACGAGTCGAAATGTAGTCTGGTGCAGGACAAAAGTGTCCTAGGCTGCACGACGACTGCGGCTGCCAAATACAAATCTCTCATCAAGGCCGCCAGACCCGATGTTGTTCTCGTCGAGGAGGCTGGTGAGATCCTGGAGGCCCACGTGCTTACTGCCCTGCATCCAGCAACGAGTCAACTGATCCTAATTGGGGATCACAAGCAACTGCGACCGAAGATAAACAACTACACTCTCAGCGTGGAGAAAGGGGAGGGCTTTGATCTTAACCGGTCACTCTTCGAGCGTTTGATACTCCAAGGCCATGAGCATGTGACTCTCCAGAAACAACATCGCATGCACCCAGAAATCTCACATCTCGTCAGGCAGATGACCTACCCTTAACTCCAGGACGACGAGAAAACCTTCCAACGAGCGGAGCCCAGAGGACTGCAGGGCAGAGTCAGCTTCATCAACCACAGCCATCCCGAAGACTCCGCAGACGAGATCGCCGATCGTCGCGACTCTGGTTTCACGGCAAGCAAGAAGAACCAATTCGAAGCTCAAATGGTACTGAGATTGGTGAGGTATCTGGCACAGCAAGAATACAAGACCAACAACATTGTCGTTCTCACCCCTTACCTTGGGCAGCTTCGTCTTCTCAGGGACATGCTGAGCGAAGAAAATGACCCTATTCTCAACGATATGGACTCTTATGAGCTCGTCCGCGCTGGACTGCTGACTGCAGCTGCTGCCAAGGTCAAGTCAGGCTCTGGCCGCATCAAGCTTTCGACCATAGGTATGTAAGACAGCCTGCGTGCATTTGCTTCGCTAACGATCGCAGACAACTACCAAGGCGAGGAAAGCGACATTGTCATTGACTCCATGACTCGCAGCAATAATAATGGCGATATTGGGTTCATGAAAGCGCCCGAACGGTTGAACGTCCTCTGCTCCCGCGCCAGGGAGTGTTTGATCATGATCGGAAACATGGAAACATTCATGAAGTCATCTCAGGGCAAGCAGGTCTGGGTACCGTTCTTTGCTTTGTTGAAGGAGAAAGAGTACTTGCACGATGGCATCCTTGTCCGTTGCAAGCAGCATGCCGACAAGACAGCGCTTCTGGAAAACCCCAAGGACTTCGACATCAAGTGCCCCGATGGTGGTTGCGACGCAATGTGGTAAGTTTAGGCCTTTGTGGCATCGGTTACTGCTGCTCTACCTCTGTCACTTTCCTCCCAGCTGACTCAACCTGCTTAGCAACGCTCCATTGTCCTGTAGTAAACATTGCCAGAGACGATGCCATCCCATTTCGAATCACAGCAAGGTTACATGCCATGAGCGCATCAAGAAGACGTGTGATCGCGGACACAAGTACAGCGTGCCCTGCACTGACGAGAAAGCTGGCTGTGGGGCTTGCCTGAGAGAGGATGAAGACACCCGCAGGAGGATACAGAGGGATCTGCGAATGGAGGAGGAAAGAATGCTGGCGCAAAAGCGATACGCCCAAGAACTTCAGCAGGTGAAGGACGAGCTTGACCACGAGAAACGAAGGCTCAAGTACGCTCAAGAGGATGAGGACCACAAGATCGCCATGGAAAAAGCTCGTGCCGATGTAGAAGCCCTGAAACAAACGAGGGCCCGTACAGAGGCGATGAAGACAGCTGCTGAGGCCGCCAAAAAGGTTCCAGGCGCGTTCCCCGAGACCGAAATATCGTCGTCGCCACCGCCTGCTCCAGGTAGCGCAAGGGAGGAGTGGGACATCTTGAAGAAACAGAATGGAGAAAGTAGCGCCGCGCTGGATGATGTAATGGACTTGATCGGCTTGGAAAGCGTCAAGGAACAATTCTTGTCTATCAAGAACAAGGTCGACACATCTGTGCTGCAGAATATTTCCTTGTCCAAGGAGAGGTTTGGCTGCACTTTGTTGGGCAACCCGGGCTCTGGTATGGCTGCACTCCCTCATAACACAGGTGTTTACTAATGTTCTGTGTCCAGGAAAGACAACCGTCGCACGAATCTACGGGAAGTTCCTCACATCCGTTGGGGTCATCGCCGGCAGTTCGTTCAACGAAACTACAGGCTCAAAGCTTGCGAACATGGGCGTTGGTGGCTGCCAGAAGATGGTCGAAAAGATTCTTGAGGACGGTGGTGGTGTGGTCTTCATTGACGAAGCCTACCAGCTCTCATCTGGAAATAGCCCCGGTGGAAAGGCAGTGCTCGACTTCTTACTCGCCGAGGTTGAGAATTTTACAGGGAGGATCGTCTTCATATTGGCCGGGTACAACAAGCAGATGGAGACTTTCTTCGCCCACAATCCTGGCTTCCCGAGTCGCTTCCCGATACAGATGAAGTTCGATGACTACAACGACGATGAGCTTCTCCAAATCCTGCAACGGCAAGTCAGGCGGAAGTATGAGGGTCATATGAAATGGGAGGGTGACCTTTATCTTCGAATCGTCGCCCGCAGACTCGGCCGTGGACGAGGCAAAGAAGGATTCGGCAATGCTAGAGCGGTCGAAAACCTTCTGAATGTCATATCTGGCAGGCAGGCCAACAGGATCCGCAGAGAGCGCAAGAAGGGAAAGAAGCCGGACCATTGGTTGTTCACGAAAGAGGATATGATCGGCCCAGAACCCTCCAGTGCTCTCGAAAAGTGCCCGGCATGGATAAAGTTGCAGAAGCTCATTGGAATTTCATCGGTAAAGGCGTCCGTCAAGGCATTGGTTGACAGTATTCAAACCAACTATCGTCGGGAGCTTGCAGAGGAACCCACCATCGAGTATTCCCTCAACAAGGTGTTTCTCGGCTCACCTGGTACCGGAAAGACCACAGTCGCGAAGCTCTACGGACAAATACTCGTTCATCTGGGCCTCTTGTCCAATGACGAAGGTGAGGTTGCGACCAAATTCATGTTGGCTTTTCTAATATTTGGTAGTAATTGTAAAAAACCCTGCCGACTTCACGGGCGCTGTTCTGGGAGGGTCCGAGGCCCAGACCAAAGGCATTCTCGCCGCCACCGTCGGAAAGGTGTTGGTCATCGACGAGGCGTATGGCTTGTATGGAGGCGGTGGTGCTTCTGGCGGAAACGCCACTTCAGACCCTTACAAGACTGCAGTCGTTGATACCATCGTTGCCGAAATCCAGAGCGTTCCAGGAGAAGATCGTTGCGTCCTCCTGCTCGGCTACAGAGACCAAATGGAGGAGATGTTTCAAAACGTCAACCCAGGCCTCAGCAGACGCTTCCCCATATCATCTGCGTTTAATTTTGAAGATTTCAGTGGCCCTGAGATGCGGCAGATTTTGGACTTGAAGCTTAAGGATCAGGCATTCACGGCAACAGATCAGGCGAAGCGAGTGGCGATGGAGTTGCTGGACCGCGCGCGCAACCGCCCTCACTTTGGCAATGCCGGTGAGATCGATATCGTTTTAGACCAGGCAAAGATTCGCCATCAACAGCGCCTATCCTCCAACCAGACGACCCAGGTGTCAACCCTCGAACCGTTCGACTTCGACGAGAACTATGACAGAGCAGAAAGAACGGACACTAATGTGGCTTAGCTGTTCGAGGGCACTGTTGGTTGTGAAGCGATTGTGGAAAAGCTGCAAGGCTTCCAAAAGAATGTCCGCGCGATGAAAGAGCTCGGCATGGATCCCAAGGAGAACATTCCCTTCAGCTTCCTCTTCCGTGGACCGCCCGGAACCGGAAAGACGACGACGGCAAGGAAGATGGGCAAGGTGTTCTATGACATGGGGTTTTTGGAGAATGCGAGAGTCATCGAATGCTCGGCAACAGATCTCATTGGATCGTTTGTTGGACAGACGGGCCCCAAAGTACAGCAGTTGCTTGACAAGGCGCTTGGACGCGTCTTGTTCGTTGACGAAGCCTACCGTCTTGCGGAGGGCGGCTTCGCTAAAGAGGCTGTCGATGAGCTCGTTGATTGCGTGACGAAAGACAAGTACAAGGGCAAGTTGATCATAATTCTTGCAGGTTACGACAACGATATCAACAGGCTACTGTCGATCAACCCAGGCATGTCTAGCAGGTTCCCGGAGGCCATTCAATTTCATCCCCTTGGGCCAGGACAATGCTATGACCTCTTGCTTCAGCTGCTGCTAAGACAGAAGTGTGAATTTGAGGCAGCGAAATCGACGACAAAGGTTCTGGTAGACTGCCTGCATCAAACTAGCGACGATTTCAAAGAGGACGTCCTCATGTACTTCAGCGACCTTTCCAGATTGTCCAGCTGGGCCAGTGCCCGAGACGTGGAGTGCGTCAAGAAATCCATCTTCAATGAGGCCATGAAGTCGCGACAGGGCACCACGATCGAAGTTACAGAGGAAATTGTCACGGCGGAGCTGCACAAAATGCTTGAAGAGCGCGAGAGCCGCGAAAGACACGAGGGAACCTTTGGTAACATACCGCAATTGCAAACCCTTCAGATGGGGCCTTCACCCGAAGCTCATCATCAGGTTCGGACTCAGCAGCAGACCCAGACAACGACGACCGCTGCTTCCGAAGGCGAGGAGATAGTCTACACGCCACCTGAAAGTCCAGTCGAAGAGGAGGTTAACAATGGAACTCGGCTGGCCAATCGAGATTATGGTGTCAGCGACGCGGAGTGGGCGCAACTCGAGCTGGACAAGAGACTCCGGGAGGAGAAGGAAGAAGAGTATCGCGTTTTGATGAAGGCTCAAACACAAGCGACCGACGCCGCAAGGGAAGCCATTCTGAAGTCTTTGCTCGAAGAAGAGGCTGAAAAGAAAGCTCAGGAGGAGAGGGACGAAGAACGTCGGCGCCAGATCGAGGTTCGAAGAAAGAAGGCGGCCGCGGAAGCTGCCGCCGCCGCTGCCGCGCGAGACGCCATCCGGAACCAGATGATCAAGGAGGAGAAACAGCGGCAGAAAGAGGAAGAAGAGCGTAGGAAAGCAGCGATTATTGGCCAATGTTGTGCAGGATTCGAATGGATCAAACAGCATGGCGGGTACAGGTGTGCTGGAGGCAGCCATTTCGCCACGGACGCCGAGATTGCCAGCGCTTGAGGGTGTTCGCGAAAACTCGCCGACGTAGAGCAAACAAACGGAGTAACTTGATAAGGTAGCTAAAACAATCTTCAAGTCCAATCCCTCTACCGAGATACCATTCAATAACCCGAGTCAGTCGTGATAGCGGCTGGACGGCATCTCTGGAGAACCCGAGAAACTCTCGCAAGTAGCCAGGCCCGCGTCAAGCCACCTCTTTTCTCAACGGAATCAAGTCCAGGGTTATAAAGAAAGAACACAATCTGACCCTTAAGCCGGTTAAGGTTTGATATCTTTGGTCAAAGTCCCATATTTCTCGGCTTTGACCGACTTCCTGGCTGTCCGCAGGTCACATGGATGAGTTACAGCCTGGCCTTGCGGAGCGTCGCATCGACTCGCGCCGTCTCAGCCTCCCAGATAGGAAGTTTCCTAGTTCATATATAGCCGTGTCAACCCCAGAAAATATGATTTAAACTGGAGCACCGAACCGAGCTGGTGGAATTCGATCCCTCTCAGTTCATCCGTTCTTTTTCGTGCTGCCTGCCCTCTGCCAAGTCCTTCCAACCGCGTCGATCGCTGGATAGTCCTACGTCAACCATCTTTTCGAGTAATCTTTCACTTCTTGTCAGTATTAAATCACAGTACTACACGACTTCTTTCTCATCATCAACATGCATGTTTCTTCAGCTTTTCTTGCCGTCTTGGTGGCCTGTTCTGCCGGCGTTTCTGCGCTCCCGTGGGTGTTCCGTGCTTCTAGCCTTGCTGTTTGTCAACAACCGCTTACGGCGGTTGATCGGTACTTGTCCTTGTTGCTAATTCTTGATGTTCTGGAACGTAGGCAAGCCATAACGGGAAAAGCCACTGACTTCGGAACCTACTTTTGCCAGACTCGCACCGACGCCGGCAGCAAAATTGTGGCCAACAACAACTTTTGCAAGGCAGCCGGCGGAGCAGTCTTGGCTTCGGAGGGTGTAAGTACAACCATATGCCGTCATTCTCTCTCGGCCAAAACAGTTTGCAAGCATTGCAGCAGGCAAGAGATGAGCTACCTGAGAAGAGGGCTAAAATGAAGCCTCACAGTTCTGCTGCATCCGAAACAACAATTTCAAGGTTCTCCAGGCCATGGTGAAGGGCTGCAACGACAACAAGCTGGTCTTCAGCCAGAATGACACTCCTTGCTCGCCTTAAGCAATGAGATTGTTATGGGACGAGCTATTGCCCTCGATACGGATGAAGCAAGGTCTAATGGGTAGTAGCATGCGTTAGAAACAGACCTAGTTACTGTACAAAAGGTCATCTGAAATAAATCAATCATTCGCCCAAACTCATTTGGTCAAAGTTCCTACAATATGAGGAATGACTTCGTTTGGTGACTCGCCCGCCGGTGGCGCCAGATCGACCTCAGCCCACGGTCCAACTTGTTGTAGAGTCTGTCCCGTCCGCCGACAGAGGTGGCAAGAGCCCATCGCTTGTTCCCAAAAGATATTTGTGAATCCTGGTAAAGTTAGCGACTACCCGGCGACACAGAGGTTCGACATCTTACTCTGGTAAAGCGGGATCACCAAGCCACGCTCAGCCTTCACGTGCTCATACACGTACCACCTTCCTCCCTTCTTGAGATAGCCATAAAGCAAGCGTATGTTCTTCTCGGGCTCTGGGATGCTGCATAGACACTGAACGGTCATGATGCAGTCCACGCTTCCGGGCTCGATCTTGCCCCCCCATGCCGTCTCATTCTGCAGGTCCTCGATGCCGACCGGCACAACCTCGTACGTCTTTTCCAGCCCTGCCTCCTGTGCTCGACGCTTCAGCGAAGCAGCAGATAAGGGGTTCGGTTCAACACCATAGATCTTTGTCGGCCCACGAAGACTTTGGGCTTTTGCAGCACCGAGGACTTTGACATGCGCATCCACCCACATGCCACTGCCGGCGCCGATTTCAAGAACGATCCCCTCGAGCGGCTTGCCAGACATCTGAGCAGAAATATTGCCTCCGCGAACGCGACCCTCGAGGAGCGGGAATACCATCGGTTCTGCGCCGGCTTTGGCCTTGGGGCCCATAACGACCCAGAAGTTACCGAACCATGCTTCCTTGAAGGCGGACCAAGACAAGAACGCTTTGACGTCACCGGAGGCGACCAGCTTTGCGACCGTTACGGGGAGATAGACGAGGGAGAAGGCCATGAACAGCCATGGCTGAATCAAATAAGTGATCATTTTGTTAACTAGATGAGTGAATCCTCATTGGAATGATGAGGTTAAAATGAGGCCAGTTCAAAGTCAGGCCATTTATGTAGCGGAGCTGAACCCCGGAGAGTTTGTCGCCCAAAGTGTCCGCGAGACCCCTCATTCAAACCCCGCCCGAACCACAACTTCGGCCGAGGGACACGGGCGACTGTCGGTTGTACAGTACTCAGCACTCGGACATGGGAGCGAGTATCACTGATTCATTCGCAGGAAACTAGTTCGTCGTATCAAGCGATGAAAGACAGCTCGAGTGACGCAATTACACGAATTATGGAAATTATTCCTGCATGGGAGGCCAAAGCCCGAGATGAGATTTTCTATGTACAAGATGCGACTAAGTCTATGATGAGATGGTAATATTACATGAGGCATTACTGTTCAAGCCTCTAGAGCTTCTTGGCAGGCTTGACGGAAGGCTCCTTGCTGACGCGCTTGTTCACGCTGTCGTGCTCGTGCAGCTCGGGCTTGGAGTCCAGGGGACGGTCAAGACCGAGACGGTGGTAGGTGCTGTAAGAAGCGATGCCACCCTCGGGATCGGCCTCAGTCACGAGCTCCTTGCGGCGGGTGTCGACCAGAAGACGAATGAGATCGGGGCGCATGTAGTGGCCGGCGAAGTCAGCGAGGACCTTGGTGAGGTGGTTCTCGTTGAGGTCGATGTCGACGAACATCAGACCGTCGAAGTCCTTGTCGGGCTTGGCGACCAAGCTGCCATCGGGCTTGTAGATGCGAGCATGGCCGTTGTAGACGGAGGGATCGGTCTCGGGCTCGACACCCTCGGGGGTGTTCTTCTTCAAACCCTCGACGGAGAGACGCTGGAAGGGAGCGAGGACCCAGGTGCCGGTCTCGATGGCGTAGGCAGGGGTAACGAGGTCGGAGGCAGGGTCGGCGTAGTTGGTGGCCGGGTCGGGGGCGACCTGACGCTCCTTGCCGGGGTAGACGGGCCATCCGGCGACGTGGACCTGCTCGCCCATGGAGACGTTGAGGGACTTGAGGAAGGGGTTCATGTTCTCCCAGCAGTTGAGCTGGCCGACGCGGCCGATGCCGGTCTCGGAGACCGAGAGGAAGGTGTCGCCGGAGCCGTCGCCGTAGACGAGCTTCTCGACGTGGGTGGGCTTGATTTTGCGGCGGTGGTTGATGACGGTGCCATCGGGGGAGATGAGGACCTGCGAGAGGTAAAGGGTGGCGTGGTCGAGCTCGGAGAAGCCCATGGAGACGTAGATCTGGTTGTCACGGGCGGCGCGGCGAATGCGGCGCATCTCCTCGGAGTCGACGCGGAGGGAGTTCTCGCGGTACTTCTTGAGCATGGGAAGGGATTGCATGTAGGTGACCTTCCACATCCAGTAGGGGTAACCAGGAATCCCTGAAAGGGGTAAGACTGTGGGCTGCTTGATGAAGAACGGGATACCACTTACAAACTTCGGGGAAGGCGACCAGCTTGCAGCCAGCCTGGCCGGCCTCGTTGATGAAGTTGATGGTCTTCTGGACACCACCCTCGAGGTCGAACCACTGTTCAGGTTAGCATTGGGTTGAAGCTGAGGGAAGGGGAGCTATTACACCGGGCTCGGAGGTGACAGCGGCGGCTTTGTACTTGGTGATAGGCATGTTGAAGATTGTTGATCGAACGAGTTCGAGATGTGAGATGGTTGTTTGCGTGAGACTGTGAGTCTGGATTGATGTGTTTGAGTGTGATGCTCCAGAAAGAAGATTCGAACTTTCAAAAGAATCCAACGTCCTTATATGGTTTCTAAGTTTCCATGTCAAGAGTCTGTCGGACAATCAAAGACTTCATGTCTGTCACCGGGCTTTGAGAAGCATGGGCAAACCATCTGTGTCACGCTATGGTCCAACATGGCCTGCGTTGTCAGCATGGGCATCGAAATGTGTACAAACGCCGTTGAACGCCTCATCAAAATGCTCGGTATCAATGCTCAAGCAGATTCTTGGGTCAAGTTGAGCAAGTTTCCTCAAGCCCGAGCCCCGTTCTACGCCGTCTGGGTGTGGCGTGATCGATATCCATCTTTTCCGGGAACCAAGTGCGGAACGCCGTTGCTATGACTAGAGGCACATCAAATTTTACGCAGCGATTACTTTACCATCATAAGGCAATCTGGGGAATGAAGCTCGGACTGCTCCCTAAGGAGCATTCGCTCTGAAGTCTGAAGTATGATTCCGAGAATCAACGAATTTCCTCCGGAGTCACGCGGCCAGCAGAGCAAAAGCCGCAACCTGTCGTGGCACGACTGGTGTGACGTAAAGCCACCGCCGACTGCCGCGTTTCTCCGGATCGATCAGACCAGATCGGTGGATGAATTAATTTAGCTCCCGTCTTCCCGGCGGCGCAGATCAAATCTGCGCCCCTCCGGGACCATCACCGGTGGTGGGGCGCCGGGGTCTGGTGTTACGTGCTGTTTTCAAATCCCGGCGGGGGCAGCGCAGACACCTACATCGTCCGATGTTCGGGAACGCTCGATCCCGATGGCAAATAATATGGAGATGGCCGGCAGTCACGGGGGATGGAAGATATGATGAACGCCTCTTTGCGTTTATTGATTCTGTGTATCTGAGTCCTGGTACTCCCAAGCTTCCAAACCCTGATGTCCTGCTTACAAAATGTCCTGTATTCCCGTTTTCCCAAGTGAACGCCGAAACCTGTTCCTCTGTTGTCAATCAAACCAAATCAAAGACAACCTCTATGAATCGATTCGAAGTCATACGCGCCTGCCCTAGTTGAGCAAGTGGTCACGGCCGAGGACGGTAAGCATGAGGGCCTTCCAGAAGGGAGCCTTCTCGACGTAGTCGCCGGCGGCATTGTTGGTCTTGTCCCAGAGGCTGGGAAGACCCTCAGCACCGTACTTCTTGCGGAGCTCGTCATACTTCTCCTTGCCGTAAATGGCCCAGAACTCCTCCTCGGTGTAGTAGTGATGAGCGTAGAGCCACTTGAGGCCACCGAGCTGGCGAACCTTCTTCTCGATGTTGCGGTTATCCTCGACGAAGCGCTTGAAGGCGGCGGCACCGATGGGGTTCTCGTACAGAGGCCAGGAGGCAGTCTTGAGACCCCAGAGACCGACGTTGATGACGGTCTGGTCGGTGTTGAGACCGTTGGCGAGATGAAGGGTGGCCTCGGTCTTGGCCTTGATGGGGCAGAGCCACATGGGGTAGACGTGGAGGGAGTCGTCGGCCCACTTGAGGAACTTCTCAATGTTCTCCTGAGGAATAGCCAAGTCCTGGACGATGAAGGACTGGGAGCGACCGCTGTGGTGCATAGTCCGGTAGAGCTTGCTGGTGTGCATGAGGGGGTTCATGAAGAAGCGCGAGAAGCGGTTGAATAACGCCGGCTTCTGGCCGTACGTTCCCATCCAGAAGGCGCCTCTGTCGTAGCGGAAGAGGTAGTCCTTGACAGGGACGAGCTCGACGACGGTACCCTTGGCGCAGGGGTCGCGAGCCTTGGAGTAGGTGCAGGTGTCACAATCGGTGTGACGAGCGTGGGCAATGGACTCATGGGCGTGAAGGTAGAACCAGGGATCCTGAGCGCGGCTGAAGCGGACAATGGGAACGCCCTTCTTGGCATCATCAGTGAAAGTGCCGAGGATGATGACACCACTGGTAGGACCAAAGAGAATGGCCTCGACGAAGTTGACGAACGAGACATTGTCAGTGTAGAGCTTCAGCTTCTCGGTGGCGTCCGAGATAGAGTGGACGGGGATGTAGCGAAGCTCGACGTAGCGATGAGCCTCAATGAGCTGAATCTCGAACAAGGTGCAGACGCCAAGGGTACCGCAAGCTCCAATGGCACCGTTGAAGAGGTCGGGGTTCTCCTCGCGGGAGGCCTTGATGAGACGACCGTCGGGGAGGATGATCTCGACAGAGATTACGGACTGGTCAAAGTAGCCATGCTGGAACGAGGAACTCTCGGCAGCGGTGCCAGAGAAGCTGCCTCCAACAGTGATGCCGGGGAACTCAGGAACAACCTTGGGAATGAGACCGTGCTTGAGAGCGGCGGTGACGAGAGCGTCCATCGAGACGTTGGGCTCAACGACGGCGATCTTCTTGGCTTCGTCGATCTTGATGATGTTGTTCAAGTCGCTAATGTCGAGAACCTCGGAAGCCTTGCGGGTGCTGGGGCGAGTGCTGTTGGTGTCGCCATGGTAGATTCTGAACTTGGTGTCAGCGGCGATGAAGCTCTTGATCTGGGCAATCAGGCTCTCGGTAGCAATCTTGTGCTGCTTGAACTTCTTCGCGTCCATGTTTGCGATTGGCGATGCGTAGATCGTCTTCTGGTGGTCGAGCGATGATTTGATGATTTTTGTGAAGCCAGTCGAGATTTTGACCGAGGTGGTTGTGGGTTGAAAATATTTTCGAGGGCAGGATCGCAAGAAGCGAAAATAAAATTCTTCAGGTAGGCAGATCCCATGGAGCAGACGACTAAGCGGCCAGAAGAACAGACTGGTGAAGCAAAGGAGCTGTCCGGAAGGCAGCGGAATGTCCTGAACAGCTGAGTCGTTGTGTCTTGCTCGGGAGTCTCATCCGCAGAGTGACTCCGTCGAGCTCGGAGGGAATGAGAGCAGTGAACTTGAGTCTAACCCTAAGGTATGAAACTGACCGGCAGCAGATTGGGCAATAGCAGAAGGAACGACATAGAAGGCTTTGAGGGATTGAAATTGGACGTCCTCAAGGACAAAGCATTTGGCTTACACCCAGGAGGAACTCAAAATGCAACATTGTTCTTTGGAGGGCTGCTTTGTGATACGTCCGGCTTCTTGGGATACAAAGGCTCTGCAAACAGTCGACCAAAGGCTACCTGAGATGATGGGGTGGTTTTAATTGAAGCAGGCTGATCTTTCGGAGACCTTACGCAAAATTATGGAAACTAGGGTTTTATCTACTAACTGTAGTGGAATGTTCTGGCATGAGGGGTTGGGATGAACTCTCTTGAGTTTGGGTGTGTGTAGATTTTGCCCACTTCGCACCTTTCTATAGAGTTGTCTGAGTGAAATTGCCCATCAAAGGTTTCTTGCATATCTATGAGCTAAATCTAGACTACTATATGTATGTGGGACTACCTTTGCTGGAGACCGGCTTAGTGGTCGCAAGACTGGATACAAGCAAACTTATTGACTGCATGGACAGCCGCATCAAACAATCATGGTGAAACTTTTGATCAAATGCTTTTATCACGAAGTACTCTCAGAAAGAAAAGTGACCCAGTCAATTGATGCGATTGCCCGATGTCGGATGCACACAAGCTATTGCGATTCAACTGGGTATGATACCAGCTCGCCCAATGGCATGGATGGGAGATATGACATGCGACAACTCTCGATATTCGCATCCAGATTTAGCAGCAGAGAGAAAAAAGGGTTTATATCAAGAGGGGAAAGGAGTGCAATCCAAAAGCAACTTGCTCCCCACCGGAAGGAAGATTGGAGGGTTTGTTGATGGCGGGCCGATGGCGGCCTATGAATCCGGATGCATGAGATGGCGGGCGATTAGCTGCTTAAAGTCGGATCTGATAAGTCAAACTCTCGGCAATTGTCAATCTTTCTAAAGGGAAACGTCGTCTGGCTTGCTTATCGCAGATGAAGCCACTTTTGGCTGGGCTCTCAGGGTCCACGAGGTGGCTTGCAGCGTCTTCCATATATTGGACGTCATCATCCCGTCAAAAGCAGCGGGACCGCTCACCGGCGGCACCTGCTTGAAAATTTTCCAACGTTCTCATGGAAAGCATCGTTGAAATCCAACGTTGGTGTTTCCATCTTAATTCTGAGCTGCCGAAGGGAAAGAAGCCACCAGGATGCCATCCGAGATGAAGAAGGCCTGACCGACATCCCCCCTGATATTGCCCATGCCCGTCACACCCGCCTCTTTGCCCTTTCCTGTCACTTCAATATTCTTTCCAGAACTCACATCAGTCTTTCGTTTTGATCTTTCCCAGTTATTTCTGTTTCCCTTTGTCACCTGACTGACATCGATGGCCACTTCTCGACATCCCGACGTCGCCGCCGTGGTCGTCAATCGTCCCTTGACGTCCTGCATCGTCATCCTCGTTTGTCATCTGTCTTCTCTTCACCAATTTCCTTATCAATCCAAGCTCGAAAATCCGTGGCGTGAGTCACTACACCCACGATCGCAAATTTGTCTATACTGTATTTCAATATCGACCTTCGCCGCCCGCCTTGTCCCTCCGACACTACCATAACCTCGTTGTCGGAAAGACATCCAACGCCCTATTCTGCTTCCAACATGTCTCAGAGTAACAGGCAATTGGCCAGTTCCCTCCTAGCTTTTTATACTGCGCTTGATGCACTGCGCCAATTGCATCGCCTCATGGACAACGCCCCCGCGGAAGAACTTGTTTACTTCACCTCTATGCTGGCCCTTGACGCCTGCGACTACGACTGGGAACTGCAGTCAGAATGTTCAGACTCGAACGACAACATCGATGCACATGTGGCGGATCCTGCCGACATTCCTACAGATCCATCGAAAAATGACCACTATACCGATGCTGACGGGGACTTGGAGATGACAGACGCCCCTACACAGGAATTCGGGACTCTGCTGGATCTGGACGACCTGTCAGAGACCTTCAGCCCGGTAGACGAATTAGATCGTCAAGACCAACGATCTGACGCATCTACGCTGAGGAACCTTGCGGCCATAGAGAGTTTCACGAGCATCCAAACCCATCAGATCGCTGATGCAGAAACGCTGGACGTCCAAGAAGCAAAGAATATGAACAGTCAAAGCACTCAGGGCAACGTTCTGCAAGGATTCGTGACTTCAGGAGAGGACTCATCAGATGCGGCTCATGTGGAGCATGTTGAGTTCGCTAAGGACGAAGAAGTTGGAATGGTTGAGCATGTCGAGTACGCAAACTCGGGACAGACCGAGAGCGACGAAGGTGGCGGCGGATACGACGGCGGCAATGATGACACCGATTCACAGCCGAAAGACCCCATGGAGGAGCTCCGACAAGAGCTGAAGGATCAACGTGATGACCTTGACTGTTATTACAAAATGACACGCCGCCAGCCGCCTTTGGACCACGAGGCTACGGCACCATACTTGTACTGGTGGTACCTCCACGTCTGTAACAAGCTTCGGCACCGTGAAGAGCTAAAAGGGAAGGCCGGAATGGCCACCATGCTAGAATCCGAGCGGGGTAGAGAAGCATCCAGCAGATGGAGGGAGGCCAGCGGTAGATCACGATACCAACTGCTGAGCACTGTCAGCCCTCAACCTGATCACAAACGGGAAGCTCGCTTATATGGCACAGGGCTCTTTCATGCTGCGAGGGCAACGTTAATCTCACAGGGGCGGAGCGTTGACTGCGTGGAACAAGTACAAAAGAAAGGGCTGTTTCGTGGAGTATCAGTCGTAAATCGACCGGTGGAAGACTCCTGGCCTGGCTCCTTGCAGCAATTCTCGCAGAGACACTCCTTGAGAAAATCATTGACAATGGAGGAGTATGAGAAAATGGAAAACCCAGAAGACGTTTTCCCGGAGCCTAGACAGATCCAATGGTGATAGGCAAGACGAAGGCAGCGTTGGATCATGATGCTTTGGAACAGCGGATAAATAATGCGCTTCAGTAGATTCTTGGATGCATAAATTGAATATAGCAAGGTGCATTCTGACATTCACTACTCTCTGTTATCTCTGTCCACATCATCTTTGCTGTGAGCATCACCAGAACCGCATGAGGTACATCAACCGCATCAGGTGTGTCAGCATGCCGCAGTGAACCCTCAAGTGATGTCGGAAACGTGCAGAGTAAGGGAAATTCTCTCCAGCTGTTTACAGTGTACCATTCATTCTTTCTCGCGATCCTGTATGCGACGACGAACCCCTGGATCCTGGGTCTGCTTGTGGAGAGCAGTTTCAGTATCATTTCCAGCAGGCTTGCCGGAAAACACTAGAGGCAAGGGTTAGTATTCGGAATTCAAAAAGACGCTTTGATCGGCCGCATAGGTGACTGAAACTTACAGGCTTCCATCTCCTCGAGAGACTTGCCCTTGGTCTCCTTGATAAAGAACCAGACAAAGACGACCAGAGCCCAGTTGAAAATGCAGAACATGAGGAAGGTCTTCCAGCCGAGGTTCTGGACGGCATGTGGCGTGGCTTGCGAGAAGACGAAGTTGAACAACCATTGCGTGGATGTGCCGATGGCAATGCCTGCTTCGCGGATGCGGGAGGGGAAGATCTCGCCCATGTAAACCTGAATTTGGTCGGTTAGTGCTTCGTCTTCTCGGGATTGAAAGTATTGAGACTTACCCAAGGCGCTGGGCCCCAAGAAATGTTGTAAGACATGGCTTCCAGGTAGATCATTGTCATTGATGCGATGGCAGTAGAAGTCAGACCCTGGTCAACGGACTTTGGTGGGTTGGTGGCTGTAAGGCATGCGATGATGAGCATGTACGCTCCCATGAGGAAAGCACCGGCCAGGAGAGAGCCTCGACGACCCATGCGCTCGACGAGGAAGAGGAGGTAGAAAAGACATGAGACTACTTTGACGACGCCAAAGAAGCCGGTAATCAGGAGGTTATCTTGGCCGGCGCCGACAGCGGCAAAGACCTGGGGTGCATCTGCAACATCGGTTAGTATCAAAGGAAAGACGAATCGAGAAAGTTTCTGGCTTGGGGCAGAAGAAACGATGGTTGCTTACAGTAAGCCAAAGAGGTATTGCCGGTGAGTTGGACACCTAGCAAAGTCAGCTTCGAAGTGCAAGTACAATCCGAATCGGCGGTTTACGTACCAATCTGAAGAGCGATGATGAGGAGAATACGGTAACGGTTGGTTGGCTGAACAAGTTCCCTCCATGTCAGACCCTCCTTCTGGCTTTCCTCCTCCTCGATGGTGGCGATGATCTCAGCGAACTCTTGCTGAACCTCAGGCGTATTCTCGCCGCCACGAACCCACACAAGGGATTGCAGGGCTTCCTCCCTTCTGCCAGTCTTGGCCAACCACCTCGCACTCTCTTTGCAGAGCAACATGCCCAGACCCAGAATCGCACCAGGGACGAGTTGGAGTCCGACGGGAATCTGCCATTGCTTCGTTGAGGGTTTCAGATGCTTGCTCACCCCGTAGTCGATCCAGTAACTTGTCATGACGCCCATTGTGAAGAAGAACTGGAACATGCTGCCGAGCATGCCTCGGATGTTCTTGGGCGCCATCTCGGCCGAGTACATGGGGATGACAACGGTGGCCATGCCGACGCCGACACCGCTGATGACTCGAGCTACGTAGAACGCCGCCAGGGAGTGGGTGTTGATCGTTTGGACCACGGCGCCGATGCAGAAGATTGTCGAGGCGAGGATGATGGACCATCTTCGGCCATACTTTGCGGTGAAGGGCCAGATGAAGAAGCAGGAGAAGAAGGCTGGAAGGAACGGTTGTTAGGATTTTGTGTTACGGGATGCTCTTGTTGAGAGTAACTCACCACCTGCCTGCAGCAAGCTCGTAGAGTTAGAGCCGACGTTTGCCTTCTGTGATGGGCCGTATCGAAAGTCAGTTTGAAACCCCTCAAAGGTGAGAATTCCGCCGATGATGCCAGTGTCGTATGCAAAGAGGAAGGAGCCTACGCAGCAAAGTGCTACGAGGTAGACGGCTCGGAACGTCCCAAGTGCCTTCGACATGTCGAAACAGATAGGATGCAAGCTTTGATGATAGATCTTCACCCAAGTATCCCGAGGCACCGGCTGCTATTCATATTAAGGAATTTCATGCTTGAAATACTGATCCAAGTCCGATATCCTGACTACCTTACTCTGTTCAGCACAGTCCAGCACGCCATACCGAGACACCCATTGGCTGGATACCGCAGGATTCACGAGAACCGCAACATTCGGGCGATTGTTGAAGTCCTCCAAGCACGCAATGAGACCCTTGACCCCAAAACCAGGGCCTGCCATGCTCACCAACCAACTTGCCCCATTGTTGCCCCGGCCTGTCTGCCGGATGTCGGTCGGGAGGCCCAATCTGGGCTGGTGCAATGTTCGGAGTTGCTCCACATTCCAGTTTGGGCGACCGGACCGACTACCGAGAGTCTCGGCCAGCTGCGGGGGACATCTCGGCGAAAGCTAGGAGAGCCGCCCATCCGCAGCCATTGACCTCTCAAATTGTCTGTTCCGGTGATGTTCATGCCGGATGTCGCGCGGTCTTCTGTTTCGAGGATGATGTTGGGCCACGTTATTTACCCCAACGAGGGGCACTGATGGAACAGTGATGCATAGCTGTGGAGGGGCATCGTTGCAGCATGGAGCTATCTTGAGCTCTCATCGAAGGACTATATGCCCAAGCTGCCGTATATGAGTTCGACGCGTTCGTTGAGAGATTTACGTGTTTTTCTCAGACTCTTTCTGCCTGGTAACTCTCTCTTTCGACCTCATTTCCGTTGACTGTATTTCAAGATGACGACCCAGAGGCCCAACATCATCTTCATCATGGCTGATGACCATGCTTCCAAGGCCATTAGTGCCTATGGAGCTGGCATCAACCACACGCCCAATATTGACCGTCTGGCAAGCGAGGGGATGAAGTTCAACCACTGCTACGTCACCAATTCCATCTGCACCCCGTCGCGAGCAGCTATCTTGACCGGTACTCACAATCACGTCAACGGCGTGATGACCTTGAACGACAGCATCAACAAGCATCTACCCAATGTTGCAAAGCACCTACGAACAGGCGGTTACAACACGGCTATGGTAGGGAAATGGCACTTGGGTGAGGGCAAACAAAACGAGCCCAATGGCTTCGACTACTGGTCTGTCCTCCCAGGGCAAGGTGACTACTGGGATCCAGAGTTCATCGAGCCATCCGGCGAAAAGATCGAGGAGGGCTACGTCACAGACATCATCACAGACAAGTGCCTCGACTTCATCAGCAAGACCAAAGACACCGACAAGCCCTTCTTCGTCATGTGCCACCACAAAGCCCCCCACCGCTCGTGGGAGTGCGACGAAAAGCACAAGAACCTCTACACCGACCCGATCCGCGTCCCCGAGACCTACGACGATGACTACAAGAACCGCGCCGAGGCGGCGAAGATCGCCAAGATGCGCGTCGCCGAGGACCTGACGTACCAAGACCTGGGGCTCGTGCAGCCCGACGGCGGAAACAGGGTCGGCGAGCGCGTGGTGCAGGAGTCAAACTCTGCGCAGCGCAAGATCCCGACCGATGCCAAGAGGCTGATTGACAAGGAAGATGGGACGGTGTTCACTTTCAAGAACGGCGACGACCTTGCGCACTTCAAGTTCCAGCGATACATGCAGCGCTACCTTCGCGTCATCCAGTCTGTGGATGATAACGTTGGCCGTATGCTGAACTACCTCGAAGACAACGGGCTGGCTGATAACACGATTGTGATCTATACGTCGGATCAGGGGTTCTTCTTGGGTGAGCACGGGTGGTTTGACAAGCGCTTCATGTATGAGGAGTCGTTCCAGATGCCGTTCCTTATTCGCTATCCCGCAGCAATTGCCAAGGGCGCAGTATGCGACGACATCATCTGCAATGTTGACTTTGCGCCGACATTCCTCGACTTTGCGAATCTGCCAGTGCCAAGCTACATGCAGGGCGTCTCGTTCCGGGAGCTGCTCAGCGGCAAGACGCCGGCAGACTGGCAGCAGATTGCATACCACCGATACTGGATGCACAACGACATCATTCATCACGCCTATGCGCACTATGGTGTTCGAGACCAACGATACAAGCTCATTTACTGGTATAACGAGGCCCTGGACGTGGCGGGCGCCAGGCCAGGCGGCGAAAAGGATAAGGAATGGGAGTTGTTTGACTGCGAGAAGGACCCGTTGGAGCTATTCAATGTGTACCACGACCCAGCATATGCTGAAGTTGTGAAGCACATGACGGGACTGCTGGAGTTGAAGATGGTGCAGATCGGGGATGAACCCGTTCATCCAAGGCTTGGTGCGACGAGTGGGTCGGTTGAGCTCGCGAGTAAGTTATGAGACAACCTCGTAGGTCGCATCTGATGTTTCCATGGGCACTCTGAATGAATCATGAAAAGTCTATTTTGATTATTAGCTGGGTGAATGTTCGTCCTTGGTTTTATTGTTCCTGTGCAGTTCAATGTGATGCTGAAATACTGCTGAAGAAACACCCGCGATGTGGTTTTTCAGACCAGCGCAATTCCCCAGAAATTCACGCCGACATGGTGTTAATTGACCGGGGCACAGCTCCTGTAGACATTCTGCCATTGGCTCATGAAGCTCCGTCTTGGATGTCGTTACCCAACCCACTCCTCACGTCATGTAGACCTTACTTGAGTAGGCAAAGCGCGAGTTCTCCGCATGCCCAGAGAAGAAGAAAGGCCCCGCCATTGTCCAGGGGTCCTTCGGCACCGGGAGACGGGGATGTCATGTGGGAAGGCGCAAGAAGAACCCTTACCAACCGGATTCAATCATCTGCTGCGTAGCACGTTGAGCAGTTGTTCTTCAGACCTACGTCCCTAACTTTCACCGACCACCGCGCGGGCCCGATAGACTGGTTGAGTCGCGACAGGCATAACAACATGAGACGAGAGCTAAGACGATGAACCGGGATGCCACTGTTTCAACAACAAGATGATGGACTCGTTCGTTGGGTGCTTCCAGGCCGGACCAGCCACCGCACGTCAAACATGCTCACAATGCAGATGGCGAAAGGTAAGCGATACCGACAGCATGGCCTTCGGTCCATCTCCCGTCCCTACCCAGAGTCCTTGGGCCTAACTCGGTTCAGGTCCGATGCGATGCTGGTTCCGAGCAGTGTTGCGGGAACTGCTCACGCCTAGGGCTGAGTTGCTCTTTTTCAACAGCAGAGGAGGACGCCAACATAACGATGTTGGCTGCGCACCAGCTTGCTTCAACCAAACCACGGCGACTGCGAGGAACCCGGGCATGTCGGAGCTGTCGAGATAAAAAGGTTCGGTGTTCCGGAACATCTCCATCGTGCACAAATTGCAAACGACACGGGCGAGAATGCACATACCCCAGCCCTGCCCGCAGCGTCCGGGCGCCATCTCCGCAGAGCACGTCCACCGAGGGGGAGGACTCTCTTCACGGTGCCGAGATCGCCCAGCACATACCCGCTTGCGTAGAGTCCTTCTTCGAGAAGGTTTACCCACTTCCATCCCATGCGTTTCTTCATCCGGAAACGACAATGGAGAGGTGCCGGGCTGGCAAGATTGACCCGGCCTTGGCGTATGCCATCTGCGCCCTGGCAACGCTACACTCGGCTTCGGACCTTCAAACCCGAGAGAGAGCCACTCCCTGGGTTCAAACGGCCGAACAGAGGATATGGCACCATCTGGAGTGTCCTACAATAGCACGTCTCCAGGCTCTTCTGCTCATCATCCATTATCAGATGGAGACTGGACGGTTCCAAAGGGCTTTTATGCTGACCGCTACGGCAGCGAGATTTGCTGCCGCCATGCGGTTAAATCATGAACGGCCTGATCTAGACCTTGTTGCTCAGGAGGTGCGACGTCGTATCATGTGGTCCCTCAAGATCACTGAAAGATACTTTTCGGTTGGGCTGCCGGAGTTTGAGGCTTGCCCGATTGAAACAATTTACTTACAGTTCCCATCAGCCGAGGAGGACTTCTGTCCAACGTTTGAGCCAGGAGATGGCAGCTGCTACAGGCTATATGTCAGGCTTGAGATTATCCGGAGAGACATCATGAAGTTGACGAGGGGTGTTGCACTCTGTGACCAGCCTTTCATGCCCCTGGCAAAACTCATTGGGGACTTTGAGAGAGACTTGGCTGAAATCGGATCTCAGATGCCTGATGGTACAGAGTTCCCTCTGTCTCAACTTGAGGTTCACTTCAATGACCGATGGCTCAGACGACGACTCTTCATGCACGTCTCCTTCCACCAAGCGCACTGCGATCTTTACCGAATCTTGCTTTCTGGCTACCCTGAATCAGCGCCTCGGGTGGTCCTCGATGCTATCGATGAAGGCTACATAACGGCTGCATACCGCAATTGCCTCAAGCACTCCACGTCTATCATTCAAATTTTGACCAACTTGAATCAACACAGCCCCAGCCATCTGCTCCTGGAGTTCGATACCGCAATATGTGCATATCATGCTACAAGGCTTGTGCTGTTCCTCTCTCGCTCTGGAAGAACGCAAGATTTGCCATCTCCCGAGTTTGCTCAGAGTCGCGCAGCTCTGTGTCTGGCGGCGTTGAAGCGGTTCTTCCCAGCATCCGCTTTGGTCAAGCCCATCATCAACGATATGGAGCGTTTGACCCAGGGACATGCGCCACAGAAAACAGGCATTGGTGGACTTTCGTCGCCGGAGTTCCAAGAAGGGAGAAGGAACTTGGAGCAACAGCTCTCCACAGCCGCTAAGGCCAGACAGAGGCTCGCCATACATAGTTTGTTGAGACAAGCCGATTTTACCGACGAAGATGACGGGGAACACTCGTCTTCAATGTCAACAACCGGACTATCCCCCGTCATGACAAGACGGACGCCGTGAGACCTCGTCTAAAACAAGCCTCTGTCAGCTCAAAGTTTAAATAATATATGAAGAGTCAAGCTTTCTTCAACTCGGAAAGTGGGTTGAGTAATCGGGTAGCTCCTAGGTAGCATCGTGAAACTATTAGATTAGTGGAGTGGGCCATGTTTTAGTCGTGAGGCCAGAAGTCTGGTTGGCCTGGAAACTTGCATCAACCTCTCTTATCCATAAATACGAGGGATGAATCCGATAGGTAATAGGTGCAAGGACTTACACGAGAACAAAGCTTATCAGTTACGGCCCAACAGGAAGCTGCGGCCCGTTTGGATGGCGTGGCCTGTTGTCGCAAATAGAGAGACTTGACACGAGCTTGCGCGCGCGTTAGGGCGCAGAATGGCCTTTCCAGCATATCAGCAGTCGCTTATTCCCAAGAGTGCAGTTCATGATCTCGAAATAAACTTTCGCATCCCCCGCAGGACACTTATTTATTCATTCCGTACTTCGCCTTGTAGGGCCCCTCCTGTCTGCGACTACTCTGCGTTTCAGCGCGCCTCACGGCGTGCCCGCCCTGTTGGTACCCTAGAGGCCTCAACTGTCAGATGCCGTCTCAACATCCCTGCCAACTGACTCGAAGGCGTAACTATCATGGTGATACTGCCGGTGGGAGGACTTGTAAGTGAGCAAACTGAAGAGGATAAATATCTCTTGATTCTCTGGGAATAATCACGCAATCAGCCCAAATCAAGTTGCAATCATCCAGTCTTCTTTACAACATCTTAATTAATACATTTACAAACGACTTGCCGGTCAAAGTCTCATTATTAAATCATTCAAAATGAAGTTCTTCTCCGTCCTCCTCTTCGTCGCCTCCGTCGCTGCTGTCGCCCTCGACACCGACGTTCCTCCCGAGCTTCACCAGCCCGGCCGCCGCGGCGTTGACTGCGGAGCTTGCGCTCGCCTCAACTTCTGCCCCGGCAAGCCCAACAACAACGTCGAGTGCGAGCTCGACGGCTGCTGCAAGAAGTAAATTACTTCAGCTGATTTTCGAGTCACAAAGCTACCGGTAAGCATTCGAAACTTTGACGGTGACTCACTGGAGCTGTTCACTAACTCACCCTAGAGACATGCACACCTGATACCCTAGACCAATGGAAGCTACTGTGGTCGAGAACAACTTGGGAGTGAGAGGCCCAGAATGGTTCTGAATCTACGTCGACTTAGGAACATGATATTGCAATAAGATACCAAATTTCTCGCCCAAAGGACTTGCTCAATTGTTCTTGCTTTAAGTTGTGACTTAAAGGAAAATCCCACATCAATGCTAATATGCGCCATAACAAAAGTATGCTCTAGCGACTGAGCAATTTCGAGAACATGAATATTAGGATACGTATTGTGATGAATTACGAAACTAGGCCTTATTCTGTGAGTCTTGTTGAGATGTATGATTGATGAAACAAGAGCGCCGTTGCGTTACCTGTGAGTTACACCAGAGTTGCGTTCAGGCTTTGCAGATCCTCAGTTCTTGAGCTGCTCCCCACCCAGAAATTGTAAAGTCCTGTCTCAACCTCCCACTCTCCACCGACGAAATAGCCGAGTTCGTTGTACGGGACAGACAGTGTGACTTCTTTCGACTCGCCTGCTTTAATTCCCACCTTGTGAAAGCGAATGAGCTTCATGACTGGAAACTCGATCTGGGTATATTCCGGACGGTAGTAGAGTTGAACAACCTCTCGGCCGAATACACTGCCAGTATTGGTCACATCTACTGTGACGGTCACCTGGCTGTTTTGGTCGCACACAGCGGGAACGCTGCTGTTGCTGGCAGATTGACATGTCAGAGAAGGCGACGAGATGTTGAAAGTCGTATAGCTCAGTCCGAAGCCAAATCTAATGGGAGCATAGCGTGTTAATTCCGGGAGATGCCAGTCGTATTGTGTCGCAGTACCGAAGCCGCCCTCATCATCAGACGGGAAGTAATCGTAGGCAACAGGAAACGCGCCCTCTGCTTCGGGGAATGTGATTGTCAGCTTCCCACTAGGGCTGACATCTCCGAAGAGAATCTCAACCAAAGCATCAGCCGTGTATTCTCCAGCGAGCCAGGTATGAAGAATCGCCTTGGATCTCTTAGTTAACTCATTCAACAGGAATGTCTGTCCACCACTGAGGACCAGTATTGTTGGCACACCCGCATCAAGGACGGCATCCAAGAGATCTTGCTGCAGACCCGGAAACCCTAGATCAGGATGACTAAAACCTTCGCCATCGGTTCGATGCAACGACTCATATGATGTATCGAATGATCCCCAGCCAGATCCGAGAACAACCACGGCGAGTCCGATCTCCTTCGCGGTGGCGACGGCTGCATCAATGCCAGAGCTATCGTTCGTGCTGAGAATGTCGACGCCAGCCACATACTTGACATTTTCGGCCCCAAGCTCCCGCTCAAGACTTGTTCGAAATGTGTCACCGTAAGATGAGTCCGATGCATTGTTGGCGGCGTACTGGCCGGTGTTCAGGATGTCTGCATAAGGCCCTAGAAGTGCGACGCGGGGAACGTTGCTTTTTGTCAAGGGCAAGGTTCCGTCGTTTTGGAGCAGAACAATAGCTTCTCTGGAAATGTTCCGGTTGATTTCGAGGTGTCTTTCGTTCCGAAGGGTAGCGTTCATGTTTTCGATGGAGGGTAGAGGAAGATCGAAAGTTCCAGTTGCGAACTTGATCTGCAGAATTGCGTGCACTGCCTCGTCGATGAGCCCCGCGATCTCCGTGTTATTTATCGAATCGATGAGTGTTGGGAAGGCGGATGGTGGTCGCGGAGATAGCTCATGCTCCAACCCACCGCGAAGGGCTTTCAAGCCAGCATCGGCATACGACTTGGCCACCTTCGACTGGGTGTACATGTTTCTAATCGAGCCGGCATCGGACATAATCAGCCCCTTGAAGCCCAGTAAGTCCCTCAAAATGTCCTTGTTGAGATACTTATTCCTGGACATGGGTACCTGATCCACGCTTGCATATGAGACCATGAGAGATAGGGGGCTGGCCTCTCTGATAGCCTTGACGTATGGGGCCCCGATGTCGTTCAGAATGTGGTTCAGTCCGCCCTGCATGCTAGCTGTGTTGACGCCACCACTGCTCGAGCCATAGATCCAGTGCTTGATCGTAGTGGCCACCTTAACAAAGCCGTTTTCGTCTTTCTCTTGCATGGTGTTGATGTAGTGAGATGCAAACTCGCCAACGAGGTATGTGTCTGCTCCGAACCTTGTGTCATAGTTGGTCAGTCGAATGAGGCCAATCATGAGCATGGGCTTGGATCTTACATCTCGCCATTCCGACCATTTCTCGGATCCTTGGCCAAGTCAACCTCGGGCGAAAGTACCCAGTGAGTCCCCACCGCCATGTTCTCGTCACGAATCGCAGCGATAGCTTGCTCGTAAAGTGGGATATTCCATGTTGCGCCCATGGATATGGCCCCTGGAAAGATGGTGGCGCCTGATATCATCAAGCCATTGACGGAATCGGCGATTGTGATGTAAGGAATGCCGAGACGAGTGTTGTTGATTTGCTCGGCCCGTACCTTGTTGGCGATTGGTAGCAGCTCATAGGCGTAGTTCGTAGGGGCACCGAAACCTGCGATCGTCTTAGCTCCCAAGCAAAGTATTGCACTTATTAAACCTACCAATTTGACCATTTTGTGTCTTTCTAATCTCTTCAAAAGAGGTCTCGTTGTAAGACAGTGCACCGTTGACCCTTTCAGCAAGCCGACGGATACCGCCCAACTGGCCAACCTTCTCCTCCCAAGTCATCAACTTGAGGAGGTCGTCGGCTCTCTCTTTTGGAGACCGTGATGCATCTTGATACACCGACCCGTTGAATTGGGATGCCACAGATGCAAGCGCTGTGATCTGGCACAAAGAGATGGCGAAAAGAGAGGCCAAAACTTTCGCCATCTTGAATGTGAGGTCCGCCTGATGATCAAAGTGGATGAAAACATGATCTCATTCCGTGCTTTGACTTGCTGTTTATATCGCGAGAAACTGCATGATGAAAGCACGTCATTTGATGAGTCCCACGTTGGACCATCAAGCCGGTGACAAGAGTGCCTGGCTCCATGTGTTCGGCAAGGAAGCCCGGAGCGGGTGACCCACTTAGACACCCGGGCCTCCGGGCTTCGAGCCGGATGTCGGTCGGCAGTCCCGAACAGGAAGGGTGCAGAGAAAATATCCAGGCACCCCCGCTTCCTACCACGGCGCTAAAATTGCGTCATTATAGCTAGCGGTGTGTCGGCTTTCACACCTCGGTGACGGCTTTTATGACTGTGAGCTGACCTTATGCAGAGTTTCATGCTGCTCAACATAGGTAATGCATGTCATTAAGCACGAACATCGCAGTTCCAGATGGCCTAAAGGCGCTTCAGACTCCACTGATTCACTGTTGGCACTTTTGCGACTGTTGCTCTACCAGTGTCACCTGCAAACGGCAGTTGCGGCTCTATCTCGCGGTTTTCGTGTACTTCATGGCCGCAGCGACGCCCGAGCACCGTAGTGAGCATGAAGCCGAGAAATCACCCTCAACACGCTGACTGGAGAGAATTCCTTGCATCATGTCATACTCCGACGCCTGGAGTCGACTTGATCAGGGCGTTTTTAGTAGATAAAGACAGCCAAACATTCAACCTCCCGAGGGGGGGAGAAGCCATTTTGCGGCTTGAAGTAAGGGGCCATGACACAATTCCATACCCAAGGTTCTAAGTAGGACTTCTACCTGCAGCCATCAGCAGTAGGATGATAAATCAGCGGAAAAATACTCGATAGCGGTAAGAGATGAGCCGAAGATGGTGAGGTTCTCCTTGCTCGTCTTTGGCGGAATAATTGTTGCTTGGTGAACTATATGAAGCCGAGATATTGACCACTCGTCTAGATCAATCAACTGACTCAAATAATCGCATCTCACTATCTAGCCAAGCATCGCTTCCCTGTACTTATCCGCTCATCTGATATTCGTGGGCATGGCAGGGCGATACAAACATCCAAGAAACGCAAGAATGCGGTAATTGGTGTTTCAAAAACCCGATCTCCTAGCGATTGGTTCATATCGACCGACCAGTAGTATGTAGCTGAGTCGTTGACATCAGCTGAAGCAGAAAACGAGGACTACTGCGCAGGTTGCATATTCGAGGTTGCTACCGAACTCGGGTATCTCGTTTGATGGAACGGCGTGCGAACATGCTGGCGATCATTGTCTGGCAACCATCTTCCTGCTCGGTGCCATTTCCGTGTGGTCATTCGGTAAGCTGGCGATTCATCCCATTCGTGCGAAATCCAAGTGGTGACGATCCCAGCCTCACTTGGACAAGGCGTGGAGAACGGTTAGGCCGATCGGCGCATGGAAGCCTCGGTGTTCATGACAGCAAGTCTGGAACTTGGTGTCAAGTCAACACTTGGGATGCGTGGTAAGATTAGGCCAGGATCGGGCGGCAGCAGTTTGCAGCTTTGGAGATGGAAATTGGTGAGAGTCTGCCATTCACCAGTCTCAATTGTGTACCATCCTGAGAGGCGGCCGATCTTGTGCGAGTGAGGAAGCCTACCCTACATGTACCGTGTTGAAATCATTACTGTACTATTATAACGGTCTCCTTTCAAAGCCTGGCATACGCTCGGTTATTGTCTCTCCTTTTCCCTCAGATAGAAGAGATTCCCGCCTCTTGTGGAGTTTCGGTCTTTTCTCTGGTTTGAATACGAGCTGCTAGGAGTTTCAGGTACTAATCTCCTGCGTTGTATTCGTAGCCATGAAAAAGCTGCCAAGGCTGGATCGATATAAAGCTCTTGGCGTAATTGTTTTGGTTGGGCCGACGGGAGATCACAAAGGCCGCATCAGGCGGGCGAAGCAGAGAGGCGCAGAAGAGGAGTCGAGCTGGTGAAAGGTGAGAGATGAGAAACAGATGTGAGAGGGGCAGGTGCGCAGAAAACTTGCGGGTGATTGGCAAGAGACTTTGCCAATGCAGAATGCCAATATTCGCAGTCTTGGCGGCCAATCCCCCTTTTCATAGTGCTACACGCCAAGACCACACTTCTCGCTCACTCACTTTGTTTCTCACTCCATCGGTCGCAATCTCACTATCTGGTTTTTGAAAAATCGAATTGACTGTGTTCAAGCTTTCGATGCCAGGGAAGACGGTCGTAGAGATGTCGTTGCACGTTCTTAAGACTATTGGCTTGTATTTAGGTGAGAAGGGTTGGCAGTTGTATTGCGTCTCACTGTGTTAAGGAACAGGGGTCTGCCCCCTCCTCAGGACCACAGCACGCAACACCCATGTCTTCCCCCATCCGATCAGCAACACATCTGCTCAGATAGGCGACGGCTCCCGCTGTAGCTGCACGGCGACACTCTCATTCAAGTTCTTCCTCCAACAGCCAACGCGTGTTCATTTGGATGAGTGCTTGGCATTCATCTATCTCTGAGATGCCGCGCGCGCTACCGCACTTTCAAACGCTTGAAACATGCACGCTTGGCAACTCTAGCGCAGCGTCACATCATCGCGTGCTGGGCAGCGGTACTGCCCATTTTGGGGGCTGGCTGGTTCGTGGTTTCGACGATGAGTGGGTAATTGCTAGTCATCCGATGAGCCTATTCCCAACCCCTGTAACCTTCTTCACTTCGTCTGTTCTTTCCAGCATCCCAGTTGACAACGTCCCAGTACCACAGCTACGCAGTACATTCATGACATACCGAATCGCAAACGAGCTCTGGACTCCACACAGCAGGCTGGCTACTGCCGGACCCCTTCCCGTTCTATTTGTCTCCTACACTCTTTAGGAAGTCAAGCCATGCCCAGCCCACTGGTTCTGGCAAACATGCCAGCCGTAAGGGACCAGAAAGTGAACCTCCTTACTCGCGCCGTTCATTTCAATGTGACGGTCTTGTGTGAGGCCAATCAGATCTGACGGCGGGCGGTCACAGCCAGCTCTCTGTCCACGGCCTTTTCGTCACGAGATTCCCAACATCCTGGCGTTCCTCTGAGGCTACCCTAGTCTTTGCTGACGGGGAAATAATCAAGGGAGTCGATGGAGCTGCGGAGTGCATGCGATAGGTTGATGTGGTTCTGGAAATCAACGTGGGTTGACCTCGTTTGCCGCTTCCAGGAATCACGAAATACCCCATCTAAACTAGAAGCCAAGATTCCGGATCTTCGATCTTTGTATATAAGACCTCAGTTATCGTCCCAAGTTTGTGCCCACAGCTTCTCTTGCTCCTCATTCGCGCCTTCTTCAGTCTTTCATTCTACCTTCAGTTCGTCTCATTATTCTGACCAATTTCCAGTGCTAGTCACTCGGTTCACACTATCTTATTTCAACCTAAACCAAACAACCCCGTACAAACATCAAGATGAAGTTCTCCGCCGTTACCCTCATGGCTGCCCTGGCTGCGGCTTCGCCTACCAACATCCTCAGTGCTCGCAACGAGCTTGCCCGCCGCCAGGCCGCCGAGGCTTGCAATATCGGCTACTGCACGGAGAACGGAGGTACCACTGGTGGTGCCGGTGGTGACACCGTCACCGTCAAGTCCGCCGACGAGCTCGTCGCTGCTGCCAAGAAGGAGGGCCCCCTGACCATCATCGTCTCCGGTGCCATCTCCGGCAGCGCTAAGGTCCGTGTCTCCGCTGACAAGACCATCATCGGAGAGAAGGGCAGCTGTAAGTGGCATACTGTATCAAATCAAGTAGATTGGTTGAGATTAACTGGCTGTTTGCAGCCCTGACTGGCGTCGGTCTGTACATCCGCCAGGTCAAGAACGTCATCGTCCGCAACATGAAGATCGGCGGTGTCAAGGCCACGAACGGTGATGCCATCGGCATTGACGAGTCAACCAATGTCTGGGTTGACCACTGCGACCTTTCCGGTGATCTCTCCGGAGGAAAGGACGATCTCGACGGTCTCCTCGATGTTTCCCACGGTGCGGACTGGATCACCGTCTCCAACGTCTACTTCCACGACCACGTATGTTTACCATCATACACAGTTCTATCTCAATCATATACTAACAGAGACACAGTGGAAGGGATCTCTGGTCGGTCACTCTGACTCCAACAGCGGCGAGGACACCGGCAAGCTCCACGTCACCTACGCTAACAACCACTGGTTCAACGTCAACTCCCGCGCTCCCCTCGTCCGCTTCGGTACCGTCCACGTCGTCAACAACTACTACGACAGCTTGATCCTCACGGGTGTTAACACGCGCATGGGTGCCCAGGTCCTTGTCCAGAGCTCCGCCTTCAACAAGTGCCCCGCCAAGGCCATCTTCTTCGCCGACTCCAAGCAGACCGGTTACGCTGTCGCTGAGGATGTCGACCTCGGCGGCTCTGAGAACTCTGCCCCCAAGGGCACCCTCACCTCCTCCTCGCTGCCCTACAAGATTGCGGCGCTCGGCTCCAGCAAGGTTGCCGGCACCATCCCCGGCACCGCTGGTCAGAAGCTGTAAGCGGCTCTGTGAGACGTGGATTGAACGTGGTGGGATGAACGCATCTTTCTTTGTACATACTTGACTCAGTATATATGAGTGACGGCAATGGCCAGTTGATATACACCCCTAATGTGTACATATGGGGTCGAAATGTTTTGCCAGAGCTGGATATTTGGAGGCATTGTATATAAATCTGCCGTCTACTACGTAGACTGAACAAGATTTTCTCCCTACAACCTGGCCTTCTTGCATGAATTCCTGTGCTTCTCTAACGTCGCATTACTTCGAGAGACGTTTTGGAAATGTATTTGGGCTGATGATCCTACCCCGTTATTGACATCCAATGATCTTCTAGTCTATTGTGCCACTCTACAGAGCCATGCCCAGAGTAAACGCCTAATCTCTCTTCTTAATGCGAGGGAAACACAGCCATACGATAGCGACCACAGCAATGAGAGCCAGAATAATGGGCTGCAGCACAGCGACACCCTTGCTAGTCGCAATCGCGCCAATGATGAAGGGGAAGACAGTGCCGCCGGTGCCACCAATCGCCATCGCAAATCCGATAGCACTCACATGGATATGTTTAGGAAGTAGCTTGGCGGTCATCATCACAGCACCGGGAAACATGGGTCCCAGAAAGAAGCCCAAGAAGGCCACAGCAATAGCCGAGACGACGAACTGAGGAATGAGCCAGAATAACAACTGAAGGGCAATGCAGAAGGCCAAGTAGATGGTGATGCACAATCTTTCGCCGTAGCGCTCAGTCACGAAGCCCAGACCCGCTCGACCGAGGGCTTGTCCGGCCCAAAAGCCAGTGGCGGAGATACCTGAAGCATAGGCAGACGCTTTGCGGACTCGCAGCATGAAAGTGACGATCCAGCCACCAAGGCCAACTGGGGATGGGATTAGCTATGAACGCATAGTGACGCCAAGTATTTCGGCGACATACCTTCAACACCCATGTATGCAAAGAAGAAGAGGGAGCAGAGCCAAGTGACCTTGGACTTGAGTGCAGCTCTGGTGCCAGCACCGCCCTCCTGATCCTCGTGCGCGTGCTCAGCGCGGTAGACAGCGCCCGTCTTTTGCCAAAAGGTGATGGTCAGACCGACCAGCTCAATTACGGACATACCGACCTGAGAAGTGGTTAGCACAGGCTCTTATTGGCTGGATTCGTGTTCCTTACCATGAAGTAGTAGTAGTTGTACCACGGTAGCTCAGCCTTGACCACCATGGACGTCGCGATAAGAGGTGAGATCAGGGCCCCTACGGAATAGAACGAATGCAGGAAGCCCTGGATGGTATTCGCCTTGTCCATTGCGCCAATCCAAGCACAGAAGCATGCATCCGTCAACCCATTACCAAAACCACTGATTGTGTTGGCAATGACGAGAACAGGATAGGGAGGATGGAGGGCGAGGATGATGTAGGTAGTAATGTGGCAAATGGGCGCCATGATGGCGACGCCCCGCTGGCCAAGCTTCTGGTGAATGCGAGCATTGGTGAAGGCCGCGACGGAATAACCGGCGAATGGGGTCAAAAAGATGAGAGATACGATGGTGTAACTGAGGTCATAATAGGTTTCGAGCTGTTCATCAGTGAGCATTGTGGACCCCGCGTCTTGAATATGAAAGCATGACATACATATGGGATCAAAGCCTGTAAACTGTCAGTCAGAGTTGCGGGTCAAGAAGAGGTAAGATGACTTACACCAACTGCCGCGTCGTTCATTCCGGCAATGATGAAAGAGACGAAGCAGAAAGCGAGCCGGCCCATGTTGCCTTTCGGCGAGTTCCATCGTTCAATCTCTCCATGGGCATTCGGTGGCGGGGTGACATCACCGCCCTTCGAGTCGATGGACTGGTGCTCTTCGGGGCCGTCTTTCTTGGGCGAGATATCTCCAACAGAGCGGCCGTTGTTCGAGCCAAGACGGCCGAGCTCGTACGCCTCCGGGCCGAACGCCGTGTGGCGTGTGTCAACGCGAGTCTCTGTAGCAGTTTGTGACATGGCGATTGGAGACGCGACTGCGCGCTGTCGTTTTCAAAATCAGGGTGTCCGACGAGGCCACTTGAAATTCAAGAAGATGAAGAAGTCATCTTGGATTAAAATACGGTCAGCGGATTTGACTTGGCCCGCCCTCGCTTTCGCATCCGATGGGTGAGAACGGCGGGGCGGGGAAGCCGGTGACGGTGCCCCGATGATTACCCGGGCGATCGGAGACTCAACCGGAAGAGCTAGCGGAGTGTCGCTCGGAGTTTTCGATGACTAAAGCGTTTTGAAGGCGGCTTTGGTAGGGTGTGATTGGCTGATTCTCCTGACTCGGCCCAGTAAAGTGGTTCATATCATGCGGGCCGAGTCAATTGAGGAAGTTCTCCGCGAGTTTTCCGCGACTGAACGAGACAGCGAACGCGACCTTTCTTGTCTGACTGAGGTTCAACAATCTTTTGGTATATGCTGGTGATCTACAAGAGATAAGCTTTGGCAAAGTCTGCACAATGATCGAGCTTCTGAGCTCAATCACCGATCATGCAATTCCTCATCTGCTTATTCACCGATAGGAAAACATGTGTCATTGACATATTCATCGGAATGACAAATTACGTACAATTGATCGAAGCGACCGCCTGAATTGTCACATCCCTGATCGTATGATGTGATTCACAGCCGGGGTAAGCAATTGTTTTACATATTCGGCGCTCGCTTGGATCCCGGGCGCCGTCAGGACCGAGATGCCCCATATTTGCGGTCCAGATACCGGGTCCGTCATGGGATTTTCGTCCGGACGCCCTTCCGGTAATTCTGGGGAGTCAAATCCACGATGGCAGATTGGATGCTCGCATCAAATGTCTCTTCAACCATTCAATTCAACCCTTCATAGCGCATGGCTCCCTGTAAACAACATCACGAAGGACCTTGCTTCCCGGCCTACAAACGGTAGCTTTCAAATTGGCTACGTGTTGACTTGATGCCCTAGGAAAGATGAGCTTCATAGCGCTGAGCCTGTAGAGGCGATAATGAGCTGAGATAATCCCATTTACTTCGCACCTCCGTCACTCGTCAGCATGAAAGCCCGCAGTGTCTCTACGCATATAACACACATTGGAATGGCCTCGGAATTCCCATTCGTTTAATACATCGAATGGGGTGAATTGAGCTACCGATCTCAGGTTGTTCCATTCCACACTTCAATCCAAGGTGCGAATCAGGCGATGCGCCGGAATGCGCGGGAGCCTCCCTTTCGTGACAGTGGGAAGACCCGGATTGTGGGAGCCCGACACGAACCGGACATATCCACAAAATCTCCTACTCCGGCAAACTGGCCCAGTCGTGCCCCAGCGGACTTTGAGGTCATTGAAACATGCGCCAGTCAAACGCTAACTGGGAACCATCAGCGGAGACTTACGCGTAGTTAGGTAATCGCGTTGTATCCGGAGCCAGCATTGAAGAATCATTAGCGGCGGCTCCTTTATTCGCTGTGGATGATGCGGATTGTCGCAAGGTGCCGTCTTAAAGCGAAGCTGACACCCGACTCCCGTGGGCGGCACTTGTTACCCCGCCTGCACCTCGTGTAGCTGTCGCATTTCCACGAAAACGCCGCACGATTGCAGATTGCAGATCACAGAGGATCCCCGGCACTGATCCACATCGCCATGGCCACACCGGGTGCCGACTCGGCGACAACAGCGGGAGAGCCGCCCGAATTCATTGAGGTGGGCGACACGGCCACGCCCGAAGAGGCGTCTGAACCTGAGGACTGGGATGCGCGCTCATCAACGTCGACCTCGCTAGCATCAGGTATCCAGAGGCATGCGTTTGCCAACGGTCGGAGGTGAGATATTCTCAACTTGGCTGCGGCACTGCATCGGGACTGACAGGTCTATCAAGGTATCATGCCTATCGCGATGGGAGATACCCCATTCCCAACGATGAGACAGAACAAAACCGTGAAGACATGAAGCATGCCATGGTACTGGAGTTGAGTGACGGGAAGCTTTTCCATGCCCCGATCGGCGATCACCCCCAAAAGATTATCGACCTTGGAACGGGCACTGGTACAGTCATCCTGCAAGTCCGAACGCGGCGAGATGCATGCTAACAATACTTGAAAGGTATTTGGGCAATGGAAGGTATGTCAACGATAGTATTGAGATCCCATCCAGGTCGACTGGAGCTGAGATGATTGATTCAGTTGGAGACCAGTACCCTGGTGCCGAGGTGACTGGCGCCGACTTGTCCCCGATTCAACCTGATTGGTAAGTCATACGCAGATCTAAGCCAACTTTATTGTCCTATTCTAACATTACAAAGGATTCCGCCAAATGTGCGCTTCATAGTAGATGACGTCGAAGACGAGTGGTTGGTAGGTGTAACCTGTGTGTTACTATCAGTACCTATGAAGGACTGTTACTGATAGAGAGCCGCCCATCTCAGTTTGACAAGGACTTTGATTTCATCCATATGCGCAACCTTGCGACTTGGGTTCACAATCTTCCCAAGCTCTTGGAACGCTGTTTCGCGTAGGACTCTTCTTCCCCGAAGTCCCTGTACGCCCTGCTGACTCCGGAGCTGTAGTAACCTTAAGCCCGGTGCTTGGGTTGAAACCCAAGACTTCAACTCCAACGTCAACTGTGACGACGGGACCATGCCAGATGACTGGGCCCTTATCAAATTTTGGGCCCTTCTTCACGAGGCAATGCTCAAGCTAAACGTTGACATTCGGGTTGCTCCACAAATCGGCGAACTGATGGAACAGGCCGGATTTGTCAACGTGAGAAAGACAGCCTACAAAGTGCCGATTGGCACTTGGCCTAGAAACAACATCCTCAACCTCGTCGGCGAGTACATGCGCACAATTATGGAGGATCTGCTTGGCGCAGCTGCGAGCAAGCCACTCAAGACGTTAGGCATGACGGACACGGAGATCCAAGTCTTCCTCGTGTCTGTACGAAGCGCGCTGAGGGATCGCAACGTGCACGCTTATGGCACATACTACTCATGGGTTGGGCAGAAGCCGCTTGATGCATAGTCACGGTCGACAAGAATTGTCAGTGTCATCCTTGGTTTGAATGTACGATCGATTGTTTTCTGTCGAGCTCTTCAGTGAAAGTTTGGATATCACATAAACGGCCGCTCTTTATGGTATTGGATCATGTATAGCAACATTCAGTCAAGCCATTTACGAAACAGCAGAGAAGGAACGCACCTGTGGTACAACTTTGGGTGACATATAAACAAGAAAAAGCAGAATTTGTCTCGGAACCAAGAAGAATCTGGAATGCAGTGGGAAAGACATCTTGTGGTCACTTTCAGCTGATGAGAAGACAGGAGAGGTCCTGATGTCTTTAGCCACAACGTGCCCCCTTTGTTTATGAGAACTTCGCCAGTGCCCCTTCAACTTCTGACAGGTCAGCTTCTCGCGATAAGCAGACGGGACTCGGGAGCAGAGGATCAGCCAAGACGAAAATTGTCAAAGCACACACCGCCAGCAGCGTTGGTCTGGTATGCGCCAACAAACTCATTGCCTGAGACTTACCGTACATCGGGGCTTGCTGGAATCGCGGGTGCCGTAGTCTGGATCGGTACTGGTCTTTATCATATCTTGCAGTGCGAACCGATCGTCCTGAACCATGCACACATGTGCGACGACACGAATGATGGCGTTCTCATGTCGCTCCGCAATTTTCCATGACCATTCCAGGTTGTGTTCAGAAGGCACATCTCATTTGGCATGGGGACGCGAGTGGCACAGAAGGATGCAAGTTACCGATTGTGCTTCCCTATTGTCTCGAAAACTCAGAACCGTCCAACAATTCACTCGCGCGTCAACCCTAGTTCGCCCAGCCATGCAGGTGCCCTTCTGTGAAACCAGCTGAAATTCTGTACCACGTTGGAGAAAGAGGGGATGATCAATTGTCTGGGAATGATGGCTTCTTGACCTGGGCCAAGACGATATCGGTATGTTTGTCGAAATGCCGAGAGAAAACGATCCGTAACGGGCTTGTCTCCTCCATCTGATTTACTCGAGCCTTACTGGGTCGGGAAGGCCCCGGTATCTCGGTAGTCACAGGTAAGACATTCCCAAGTCCAATCGGTGTGAGACATACCATGTGGACTTGGCACATCTGCAATAATAACGCCAGATGCCCGTGGCTTTGGGCCAGCGAATCCTGCAGGCAAATGTTACTCAACTTTGAATGCCAACTGCACTCGACCGCTGTCCTCCGGTTTCCATGAAAAAGGGGGCCCTCTCCGAGCTGCCATCTTGTCAACTTTGAGGGGCACAGTGTTACGTTTGTCGGAACATTACAGTCCACACATCGTTACTTCTCGTATTACACGCTGGTATATCCTTATTTGATCCCTCTCCCCCGCTGCCGGTGTTTTCCTGAGCTATTCAAGAAGCCTTATTCACAGTGCCAACCCTTACCAAGGTAGATTCACATATCCATCGAGCTTCTCAACTCGACGTCTATCAGCATGTCGAATCTTCACGGCGACAGTCATGAAACGGGGAAGGTATTCCCCCGCGACATTGAGCGCAAGGCAAGCGATGCCGAAATCAGTAATACCACTCCGGACGCCTCGTTGAGAGAGAAGCACAGCACCGCCCATATCCAAGGCATCTACTCAATCGATGACGGCGACAAAGCAAAGCTGCGGTCTACCATTGTACGCAAGTTCGATGTACGCCTGGTGCCAGCAATGTTTCTGGCTCACCTTCTATTCTTCCTGGACAAGGGAAATATTGCCCTCGCCCGTATCAATGGTCTCGAAGAGGATCTCAAACTCAAAGGCAACCAATTCAACTCATCGTTGGCGATGTTCTTCATCCTCAACATTCTATTCAACATCCCTGGAAACCTCGCTGTGCGTCGTGTTGGTGGCGCTGTCTGGCTACCATCCCTGATCGTCGCATGGGGGCTCGTCACAATCTCTTCAGGCTTCATACGCAATTTTGCCGGATTATGCATCACTCGCATATTTCTTGGTCTGACCGAGAGCTCTTTCCTTGGGGGTGTTTTGATATATCTTGGCTTCTTCTATACGGCCGACGAGCTTATCCTGCGCGTCGGACTATTTTACTCCAGCACTGCCCTAGCAGGATTCCTCGGAGGTCTTTTAGCCGGCGGACTTGGCCAGATCAGAGTCGCACACTACAATGGATGGCCTTGGATCTTCTTCGTCGAAGGATCTCTAACCGTCATTCTTGGAACTGCCTTGTTCTTCTTCCTTCCACACACACCGGCCGACGCAAAGTTCTTGTCTCCCGTAGAGAGAGCGCTCGCTGTCAACCGCATGCAGGCCCAAGATCGCTGGCACTTCCTGGAACCCCAGCAGTTGGATGATCGCGAATCGCATGAGAATGATTCAGCTATGGAAGCGACCGTTTCGAAGGACCCTCTTAACTGGGCAACAGTAAAGAGCGCCATCTTTAACGTTATCACTCTCACTATTGCTATCGGCGCCTTTTTCTCTATCGAAGCCATTTACAGTTTCGCCATGTTCTTCCCGACCATCATCGCTGCTATGGGCTACAAAAGCCTGCAAGCATCGTTGATGACGGCTCCGCCCAACTTGCTCGCCCTGATCTTCACAGTCGGCATTTGCTTCTGGAGTCAAAGGTCCGGGAAGACAGCCCTTCCTCTGAACGTATGCAGTGTCATCGGTGTTTTGGGATACATGATGCTCATTGTTGGAGCAAAAGTTGGCCCGCCGCCGCTGGACATGAACGCCAAGGTCCAGTACGCTGGCTCGTTCCTCGTTGCGATGGCAGTCAATGGAACACCGCCTCTAGCTCTCACTTGGCTTAGCATCAACGCATCGCCACACTACGTGCGAGCCATTGCTTTGGGGTTTGTGTTGTCAATTGGAAACACTGCTGCATTCCTGGCATCATTCACTTACATCAAGACAGAGGCGCCTCAGTAAGTTCCGCACTTTGATTGACGTTTTTGATGCTGACTTCACACGCAGATACATCAAGGGGCATTCAATCAATTTTGGATGCCTGTTTGGTCTCCTTATCATCGGTGTTACACTTCCGTTGTACATGAACTGGGAGAACAAAAAGCGTGAGCGGGGCGAACGAGACTACAGGCTGGATGAGAGCCGGCAGAATGGCTTGTCCAAGGAGGAACATGAGTTTAGACTTGGGTGGATGCATCCGGGTTTCCGTTTCAAGGTCTGAATATCTTTTCAGAAGTTTTCTGGGCGTTGCGTGTCCGGCGAGAGAAGACTTGTAAACATGAGGTGAAGTACACGTACACATGGGAGGGCAGATGGTCGAGACGTTGTTGGGATACCACAGTGAATACACCACAACCTTACATCGAGGACAGTAAGTATCATTTTGCATTGTGCGCCTAGGTTGACATCACGGCACACGACTAATACATGTGGTTCATCTGCCCGTCTATCGAGTCAGGAGTTCCCAGAAGCGCCTGGAACTCACCACCAAACACGGCCCGTGAGTCTGCCAAGAGGTTGTCTCCAGCCCACGCCTTATTCTCCTTACTCGTGTATTCAGCTGACGCGGCTGTACAAGAACCTGCATCAACGATGAGCGATGTCACCAAACAGTCTAATTTCAAAAGCCAAAGAAACGAAGGCCTTTGTAGCTCATCATCAAGGTCGTCAACGGGACCAGACTGATGAAAGATACGTACCGGATGCCATGCTTAAACGCCGATCCGCTCGGTTATCGCCGCTGTGCAGCCGCCGTCACGACGCTAAAACACAAAACACAGGGGCAAACAACAGCAATTTCGATCCGTTGCCGAGGTGGATCCCCCCGTCAATCAACCTCCTTTCACCCTTCACTTCGACTTCGGACGACACCAGTCTTCGGCACTGAGCCGACTTCATCTGTGCGGGCCGTGCTGCATGTTGCGAGACGGGCTTCATCAGAGCGTGCATCCATCCAGACAGGAACGATGACGGGCCACGGTCTCCTTTTCTTCATCCCGGGCAATCCAGGCCTTGTCGACTACTACACCGACTTCTTCGACTCGCTCAAGGCCCGCATCGGATGGGCAGATGGCCACATCCACGTCCATGGCCGCGATCTGTTTGGCTTCCGCGACGACAGCCATGAGCCCTTCAGCAATGAGCATCCGCCGTACGACCTGGAGCACCAGATCGAGGCTGTTTACAACCATCTGGCGTCGCTGCGGCGAACAGATTCGACGCGGAATGCGCCGGGAAAGAAGGGCGAGCCGTATGACTTCATCATCTTAGCGGGGCACTCGGTGGGCAGCTACATCGCGCTTGAGATTTTTCACAGACAACTCAAGGACCCCTCACGTGCACCGCACCTCAAGCTTCACGCGGGTATCTTGCTGTTCCCGACGGTTACGCACATAGCCCAGTCTCCTGCAGGAAAGAGGCTGGACCTCATCCGCACGACACCCATGCTCAACAACACCGCACATGTCATCGCGCAACGGTTTTTGGACCTGTGGCCCGCGGCTGCATTGCGTTGGTTTGTAAGCAACGTGTTAGGGATGGGTACCAAAGCTGCAGAAGTCACGACGGGGTTCTTGAAAAGCCGCGACAGTGTGTGGCAGGCTCTGCATATGGGCAAGGATGAGATGAAGGTCATCACTGAGGAGAAGTGGGACAAGGAACTTTGGGAAATCGAAGAGGACGACCTTGGCAGTGGCAGCGGGAAGAGAAGTACGCCTAGATTCTTCTTCTACTTTGGAAAGAAGGACCACTGGGTTGCAGACCACTTCAGAGATCACTTCATCCGAGCCCGTGAGAAGCATATTGAGAACGGCTGGGCACGAGTGGAGATTGATGAGAGAGGACTCCCTCATGCGTTCTGCACTACAGAGAAGAACAGCGAGCTGGTTGCTGACAAGGTTGCACAGTACTTGAAGGAGCTTTGGGATGGGCTTACACCATCAGAGTCGTCGTAAGGCGAGCAGGGAACATTATGATTTTAGAGGGTTCATGATACTAGACAATAGACAATAATTGTATTGCTCCCATCACTCTTGTGATATCCTACACACAAAGAAAAGTTTTTTGGTGTCAGAATTTTGCTTGCTCCAAAACTCCGTTCACTCCCCATGCAACAGCTTGCCTCGAGTCTTCCACTCTACATGCATGCTTCCTGTCGTCGCCCCTGAGGCCTAGTGTCGTCTTGCTGACATTTAGCTGTGATCTATATTTGCCGGATCTCTGTCACGTCCTCCGATTCCTACGTAGAGTTTAGTTAGGCATCGGCCTGCCAATCTGCAGGCTACTAACACTGGCAGTCTGTGGCGAACGTCAGTATGATATCCATTGTACTCGCACTGATCTTCAACTCACCTCCGCCTCAGCCTTCTGCTTCTTACGCCTCATCAGGCCGTAGATAAACACTCCCATCGCCAACAGTGATACACCGGCTGCGAGCCATGTCAGTTTAATTTCAAGTGAAGCTCATGACAAAAACTTACCAACACCACCAAACACACCCAACAACACAACAGCGGTAGGAGTTCCACCAGCGCCCTTGGGCATGGAGCTGGAAGAAGCAGAAGATGCGGGAGGAACAGCCGCAGCAGGAGGTGGTAATGGGTTTGCGCCGGTCGGAGGAGGAGTAGCACCGGGAGGAATGGGAGGCGCGAGACCTAATGAGGAGCTCATGGGAGGCAGGGGAGGAGGCGGCGGGTTCATGACTGGCGGAGGAGGTGGAGGCGGCGCGGTGTTGGCCGGAGGCGGAGGAGGAGGAGGTGCCGCACTGGTAGCTGGCGGCGGCGGCGGCAGCGGTGCTGGCTGAGGATTGATCACAGGAGGCGCCGGCGCCGGTGTTGCAGTGACCGTGACTGTTGTCGGGATCATGATCATCACCGTCTGTGTGATGGTCGCAGCTGACGGGGTCACTGTGACGAAGATCGTGACTGTCGGGACGTTCGCATTATTATTAGGTGGCAGTCCATTTGCCGGGGGAGCTGTTCCTGGAGTTCCCGGCTGTGGTTGGCCATTGTTGATGATGATACCGCCAGCTTGACCCAACACAGACAGAAGTTGGTTCGGATCGATGGGGAGAGCGTTGGCGTTGGGAGGGCCATTCGCGGCTGCCGCAGCCTTCACCGCGTCGGGGTTGGTCTTCGCATTTTGCTCCTCGCGCTTGACAATTTCCGCCATTTTGGTATCCGTTCGGCTTTCCTTCACTTCGACTTGTTCTTGTCCTTCCTTCCTTCTTTCAAGACAACCCAGGTCTTGAGTCTGACCAGCGAAGGCGAGGGTCTTCTTCGGTAGACGGGCCGAGAGACGACTACACACTTACAAGCATATCACAGATTGCTTGCCGTACGAGACCGATTTGTTGCGCAACCGAGAGAGGGTGGTGCTAGGGTATGGTGAACAGCCGCCCGTTGCTGAAAGACGTGGAGGCACCCATGCAGTTTTAATTCAGGCCCTGTCTTGGACGTGCAACTATTTGACTTCTGGCTCGTGTCAAACTTACAGGACCGAGGCGCCACCACTCGGGCCTTCGGTATGGCCCTACGGCATTGGGATTGCCTCATTGGGTAAGTGGGCAGCAGGTTTCTGGGTGAAGATGCTGAGGTTTTGGGTGTCAAATCCAATGTCCCCGAACACTGGAGGAAAAGAAGGTGTAATTGTGGGCTTTGGGAGAACGTGCGCTCCCCGACCCCCTCGTTTCCCCTCATCGTTCTCATCTTCCACTCTGAGTTCAAGGTTCGGCTGCTCTGATTTGCGTTGAAGGGGCCCTGGAGGGGATTAGGGGCCACACCCTCTGATGGGTGTAACCGCTGCGACGCCGTGTCGAAGCAGCCTCGGTGTTTCATGAGCAGGCCAGAATTGGTCCAGAAGATGGGATGCCAAATGGCTTTTTGTGTTTTTCGAAACCAGTTTCTGTAACCTGCAGTCGCCGTGCATATGAGAGGGTGGGAGCTCGGCCGTGCGTAGAGTCGCAGGCTACCCCCGTCCAACTCTTCAAGGGGTCAGACTTGTTCCCGCTTTCTGCCACGCTCTTCCATCCCAATGGGTTGTAATTCATCAGCTTGTTTTCTGAAAAGGATCAATTGCTCCTTGAATTTCTGTATTCGCGATCCTCCTGACGTCAAGGCCGATTATGGCCAGCAACCGGCTGCGTCACTGCGTGGCGGTGGAAAATAAGGCTTTCCTTCAGTGAGAATGAACGCTGGAGCCCTTATATGCTTCCATGCAACCGAGCGCAATGTTCATTAGTGCCGCTTAGATAGGTTTCCATAGACTCTCTTCGACCGACGACGACCGAAGAGAAGGCAAGATCAACAGAGCTATGAACCCCAACAGACTCCAATCGCAGCAACAAAGGCCCGGCGTGAAGAGGGGTGTTCTGGGAAGTTTGTCTGCAGCTTCAGCGGCAGCCTACAACTTTCTTGCTCACGACTTTGAATTTGTGCCGGACCGGTATCATGACGACAAGTTCTTTCCCACACGGCTATCTCGGGCGGGATCTAGTATCCGACTCGGTCGCGCTCGCGGCCGGAACAACTATCCACTGAGACCGCCGCCAATTCGGAAGAGGACATGGCAGAAGGATGCGAACGGGGAGTTGCGCAGCAAATCATTCGAGGACTCGCAGTTCAGCCACCCATACGATGAAGCACGCGGAGGAAACGACCGAAACCCGTTTGACGACGCCAATGAGGTGGAAGAGCAAGACGATGAAGCCGACGACGACGAACCGTACCACGTCTTTCCGAAGCGACAAAAATGGCTGGTCATTGTGATCATTGCTACAGCCGGCCTCTTCAGTGGGTTGTCATCCAATATCTACAACCCGTCTCTTGATGCCGTTGCGCAGGTAAGACTCGGCCCGTTCCAGCGCTTGCGGTGAAAGCGAGGGTGATGCTGATGCTGATTATGATTACTCGCAGGACCTCAAAGTCAGCTCCTCGCAGGTTTCCCTGACAATCACGTCTTACCTTATCATGCAAGCCGTGTCTCCTCTCCTATGGGGACCCATGTCAGACACATTGGGCCGGAGGCCGACATACATCGCCTCCTTTGCGGTCTACATAGGCGCCAACGTCGCGCTTAGCTTCTCACCGAATTATCCGGTGCTGCTCATTTTCAGGGGTGTCCAGGCCGCAGGGAGTGCGTCAACTGTCAGTATCGGTAAGTTGCCATAGTCTCCGTTTCTCCCTTCGACTACCCAATTTGGCAACTAATGGCAGTTCCAAGGCAATGGAGTCATTCAGGATATCTCACCGACTTCCGAAAGGGGTGCGTTCATTAGTTTCTACCAGGCCAGTAAGCTAAGTTGTCAACATGCTACAACACCCTCAACTGACACAACCGCAGTTCGAAACTTCAGCACAGCGATAGGTCCCGTGCTGGGCGGCGCCCTGGCTAATTCGCTTGGCTTTCGTTCAGTATTTGTCTTCTTGCTCATTGCCTCGACGCTTATTATTATTGCAATCATTGTGTTTCTTCCCGAGACAATGAGAAGCATCGCTGGCAATGGTGCAATCAGACTTAAAGGTCCAGTCTACAAGCCTTTGATCAGGTACATCAGGAAAGAGCCTAGGTACATGCAAGATCCAGACGGTCCTCTAAATTCCAACAAAGTCACCATCTGGACGTTTCTCAGACCCTTCAGACTGTTCAGGGAGAAGGATCTTGTCATCAACCTCATTTGGGGTGGGTTCGTCTACGCTATCTGGAACATGGTTACCACCAGCACCACACCCGTTTTCAAAGCACGGTTCCCTTTCCTGAACGAGCTGCTCTTGGGTGTGGCATTCTTACCCAACGGTAAGTGGGGACTCACACTCCAACCCTTACCTCAGCTGCAGCGAATCCCAACGCTTCTCTCGGCTGAGGGAAGCATATATCAACTCGACTGACATATCATATGCAGGCTTCGGGACCATTGTCGGCTCTGTCTTGGCCGGGAAGCTGTTGACCCGGGACTACAAGGCCATTTCGGCCGAATACAAGGCAACGCATAACATGAGGGAGGACGTAGAGTTGTCCCCAAAAGACATACCGCCAGACTTTCCCCTTGAGAAGGTTCGCTTACAACGGCTTCCGTGGATAGTAGCATTATTCACCGCTTCCATCACCGGCTACGGCTTTTCCTTGGCATATCCTGCAGCGACATCTCGACCCGGTTGGATAGCACTCCCCCTCGTGCTGCAGTTCCTCATTGCAGCCTCGGCAAACGCTATATTTGCTCTCAATCAGACAATCATCTCGGACCTTTGTCCCGGACAAGGTGCGAGTGCAACAGCTATCAACAACTTAGTGCGATGTGGTCTTGCCGCCTTGGGCGTGGCCTTTGCGGAACAGATGATTAACGCTGTGGGACCGGGGACAGCATTCCTGGTGTTGGCTTTGGTGGTCATAGCCGTGTCGCCCATCCAAGTTCTTAACCAATACAGAGGGCCCAAATGGCGGGCGGACAGGGCAAGGAGAGGCGGCTCAAAGGCCACTGCGGCCGTGGAGGATCGACAAAAAGCCTAGGTACGGGTCTGGCATGACACAAAAACATTTGGAGCATTGTCTGCAATCACATTGGGAATCATATTGGACGAAGCGAGCGTATTTAGCATTGTTAGAATTCACACGACACAGATCATTACATGAAATACCATCATACAGACCATGGGGTGTCGAGCATAAGCCAATGATATCCATGGCTAAGATACACTTATTGGAAGAACTGGATACTATTTCTGTAGATCTCTCAAATTCTATCTGCACTGAAGTCATTGCAGCGAGATTGACTCCAGCTCTAATTCATATGAGATATCATAGGACCCTTCATGAGCTGGAGTAGACTTCCGCCTTGTTGCTAGGCGTTGTCATCCACTGCCATCAATCGAAGTCAACCTCGCACGATCATCTAAATGATCCTTCATGATCAACATACCCATATTTCTGGCGAAGCGAACGATTCGACTGGGGTAAACCCTCCACCAAGACAAATCATATGGCAATCATTTCCGCTGAACACAGTTTAGAGTTGCCCAGGGGGCGATCTTGTGCGTTGCAGGCCGTCTGGTGTTTGCGTTGAAACACGGGACCCGGGTCCTGTAGCCAAGGAGATCCCGGCAGTAAAGCATCCCAAACCAACATCGGTGGTCCGTACTCGATGCCTGGCTGCCGCACAGGTTTCCCAAAGCGGTGGGCATTGGCGCCACTCGTCGTGCGCCGAAAGTCGCATTCACGTGGCATCTCGGCTATTTGGCATTGTCACATTTGATAGATTAGACAGCTCCTGTCAGATGGAGTACGGAGAAATTTGAAAAGAGCCGGTCGCCGGAGTCACGGCAGCGCTAGGGCTGCAGGATTCGGCATGCTCATGTCAGTTTGACAGATGCAACTGCCGCCTTCCGTAGCCGGTGTGTTGAAGGATTCCAACCTGACCTGCTTATCTGTGAAGGTTAGTTCTACCGCTGCTCTATCCTATAGCATAGCCTTTTAAACTTAGCCGATTCCGCAAACCAAGCGGAGCAGCCCGCCCTCTTCCAAAAGTCTACTGGAACTGAACTGCAAATCCCACGCTCACATACCGTTGGTCTGAGCTGCTGAGACTAGGACATCCCTGCGGCGCGATAGAACCCTATGATCTTCTTGAGCGGCTGTTTTATCTGGCTAGCCAGTCTATCTGAATCTGGATTGACGAACAACTTACATCAGCCGCTAGAACGTGTCGCGAAAGGACGAAGATCCAGCAGCAGTATGGGCTGAGAAGCTTAGTCAGACTCTGCTGGCTTCGGGTCCAAAGGCCCGGAAATTATGTCGACGATAATAGGGCATGTCTCGCAAGTTGTTCTCCTTAAGAAGTGGCCGGAGTACAGAGGTGTTTCCGGCGTTTATTCTGATATTCCGGTCCCTTTCGGAATTATCCAACCCCGATTGAGTTTTGTAAAGTCTGGTTCGTGATTCAATGAAGGGCATGGCGACAAAGATAGAGGCGCGAACTCGTATGATTGATTCACTGTCTGGGCTGCGACCGTTCAAGACCATCTTATGGATTCACTAGTGAAAGGCGTGATGTATTTAAGGAAGGGATCTTGTGATATGTTTCTGGTTTTCGTTCTAGAAATAGACACTTCAAAATCATCAAGACTCTGCAAAAGCAAGTTCCATGATCAAAAATGGTCGACTTCATGCCTCTCCCAAGGTCTGACAACTATGACGTGAATGGGGCAAGATATCTCATTCACTTTTCACTCCCAGAGTACTCCGAAAGGTGGCATGTTAAATGCATGAATCTTGCAGCACTTGCCAAAGATGATCCGGATTGGGGATGGGACACGTCCGATCCTCTGCCCGACGAGAAGTTTGCAATTTTAGAACGAGGACTCGAGCAACTGAAAATGAACGACATCAGCATCAACATCAGAGATGACTCAGAAGATGTTATCTTGATCACAGGCTTTGACGACGCTTACAGGGCCAGGCAGAATGCAAATATGAGAGTACCGTATCTCGATGACGATATCGCAGAACTGCTTTCTCAATTTCGATTCATCGCCTTCTTCTTCTATGAGGTCGAGTTGCTCACTGCTGTTACTCACTACTGCCAAGGAGACTTCGAGTTTCCTGGTAAGAACTTCGCGAAATTTGTGAAAAGAATACCCCAGCCTGGCCACAGCCTGCAAGAATGGGTCGCCCCTGACAAAAGACAGCAAATCATCATCTACTTCAGCCACAAAAACTATGAGAATATCTCAAGGTCAACAATCGGTCTGTTCGACAGATATGACATGGACCAAGACCCAGAGTTCCTCTTCATGAGTGAGTACGCGTCTAGCTATGACGCGTGTGCTTCCGAGTCTCGAGCGCGCGGGGAGCTGTTACCTCAGTTACTTTTCGGGCTGGACGATGATGCTCTTGATGACGAGGATGTTCCTTCGCCAGGTGAGGGCTTCGGAAATTTCACCGTCATGACGTTACGGGACAGTAAGGATCAGTAAGAGATGAAATGGTTGGGATTGGGATGTATTCAGATAGAGAGCGAATCAAAGTATCCATGCTAGATTGAGTATCTCACTTTGCCCAACGAATATCCCATGAGAGACATAGATCTTTTCGTGTTTTCTTCATCTCTGGTCGCATTATGATTTCAAAGAGGATTTCGTAATACTTCAAGTCCCAAAACTCATATACACAGCTATTCCGCTCTAGAAATGGCGAGTACGTCTCCCTGACCTCATCAGTAACACGTTGGAGATCTATCTCACATTCTCTAGAGTGGCTTCCGGAATGGTATTGTGATTCTTGTTGAGCATGATCTCTCGAATTTACTAACCTTGTCCTCACGAATAGAAAGGGCTCATAGCACTTGCTGACGGACAGGTCATTTATGAGCTTTTCCAAGACACAGAGAGCCTATACATACTTCTTGATGTTTTAGATATCTGAGTAGCTCATCTGCCACATCTTCGGTTCGCATTAGACCCGTCGCTATACACGCAGGTAGGACCCGTGGATCTCCACAGTATCAGTCCCTGTCTATCTTACATATGGAGGATGCCGAATTAAGTATCAGAAGCCAATTATCGCCATTTTACACCCTCACGATTCCCAATATTCAGTCGTTCTGTAGGCCTTCTCCAGTGTTTCACCAGCAGATGCTGTCCCCCGAGCGTCGATGCCGCTACGGCTGACAAGCACTTTTCTCTCAATATCGAAACAATTGTCTACGTTCGTTTGAGTACAAAGATCGTACAGCCTTTTGACTGCCATGTCGCAATATTTCCCTTCTCTGAGAGAAACAACATCCCATCCGTCAGAAGTTGTGCTGTTGCATACAAGTGAGGCTTCATGACCTTCGGCTTCTGTCACGATGAGATGGCTGGGATCGCGGTTGGATCCTCGCCGCTTGGTGAGAACATTCTCAGGGCAGTTCTGCGCGGGCTCCGGGATAGAACGCCGCAGCTCCTTGATCGTTTTGGTGCTCTTGATCTTAGGCCTGGTGTAGACGCCTTTGTCCCATACGACTCTGTCGACAGCCAATTCAGGACTTTTGTCGCAGCCCTCCAGCCCGGTTTCCTTGTCCACATCATACTGAAGCGGTGGCTTGAAGAATGGAACAGTTCCATCAGGTTCGAGGCGTCGCCACCAGCCGAATCGTGGAGTGCTCCTGCAAAGGTACTTCTGCTGATCCTTGCGGTACATCTGAATCTTGGAAGGTGTCCCGAGCATGTCGTTTACGTGGAAGCTGATAGATCGAGGATAGTTGTCCACGATACCGCCAGAACTCATATATACGCATTTCGGGTACTTGTCCCCAACTTTGCGCTGGCTGAGAAACCACTTCGCACCGCAGTACATGGCGAGATCGCCATACCATGTTGCACTGAGTTTGCCGTTGGAGACCTGGACAGCTGAGATGCAGATGGTCTCGGAGTACAACTGTGATATCATCACGTATTTCGCTGTTGCCATTGGGTCCCTGTTCTGGGTGTGTGGGATCTTGTAGATGTTGTCATTAAGGTCATTGCTGACCGGCAACTTGTTTCTGTTGTCCTCGACCCAGTGCTGGCCGATTCTTCTTCCATCGTCGTCCCAGAGTGAGATGAAAGGCTCAGAACCAGACGCTTCCAAGTTGGCGCCATCTCCAGTGACAATGGTCACCCATGTCTCGGGTATGTGTTTGTCGGGAATGCCAGCATCATGTGACCACTTGAACGGCATGATGAGATTGTCTGGGCTGAAGAGAAACCCTAGGATACGGGCTCCAGCGGCGAGGTTAACGTTGACCATACTGAATGTTGCGAAAGGAGGAAACCATGGTCGGATCACCGAGACAGTGAGTCGCCGGCGTTCAGGCTCGAAGCGTCAGTTTTCGGGTTTCGGGGGCAGAAGGAGGAGTAGGGCAGCCACAGCCTTTGGTCAGGATTCTTGGAGCTGGTTTTATATAGTGCAGTTTTCATTCACCTTGGGTTTTGAAATATCGGAAGATTCCTCCAAGAGGGATTGTTGGTGGCTTGCAGCCTCCCTACGACGAATGTGGTCGTTACATTGCTTTATTTCCTCGCCTATTTTCGGGTACCAACATAAAGGGAGAGACGCATGCGTCTCGACACGAAAATTTGGCGTTATACAGTGCCACACATCTGGTGACATATTTCAGGATTTGTCTCCCAGTGGCAAGAACGTGAGGGAGGTTTTCGTCCTGAAGCTCCCTCACGGACAAATGGCGGGTTCGAAAACGTGACATATGTATCCATAAAGCTTCATTCTGCACGCAACTCATTCGCAAATGACGTCAAGCCATTTTACCAAGGTCTCAGGTACTGAATTGAAGCCGTCTCCGTTCTGGACGGCGAACACGAGCAAGCTAGACTCGGCAAGAAAGAAGTCTTAGCGTAGGGGCCGGAGTATCTTGCGATGCAGAGAGTCGCTGGCAGTCTCTTATCGTGTGGATCGACTTTGTGTTGGGCTTGTGATTTATGCGTCCCTTTCTTGAATCCCAGCTCCGCAGCATCCAGTAGCCTGAATATGTATTACTATATCCGCTTGAGTTGGTCTTGCTGCGTGAACGCTGTGCTTGCTGACTCTATCCTAAGATTTATGAGATTTCTCATAATGAGAGGTCCTTTTTGTATGGGAAATCCTATCACTTGAGAGCTTTGGCCGATTCTTACGTAGTATTCTCTTAGAATATTGCCCTGGCAAATATTACTAGCTCATTTCTGCCAGCTTTGAAGGCGACTTTCATTGCTAGGTGTTTCTGATCTTGCGAAAGAAGCAGGATATCTTTGGGACTTCAACATTCCAAAGGCTATTGTTTTAAGCTTAAGCTTGGTGAGGATACCAGTCACCTCCTTCGTTGCCATTCAAGAGCGCACCAATGATGTAATTTGGAGGCACACATTATTCCCGCTATGGAAGTCTTTCGGCGGAAAGCGGTAAACGCACGAGGCAGCTCGGTTGCCGACTTTACACTGAGCCTCTCAAAATCTTTGGATGGCATTGCGTCTAAGGGCCAAAGTGTTCAGTGTGGTCAGCAAGCGCCAACTCTACGCCTGGAAGCTTTCAAATGAGGCAACAACTTGAAATGGCGAGACCGAGGTCTCCGCCAGTCACAATGGCATTAGGCAAGCAAACATTCTCGTGTTAGCGTGACTAATGTCAAGATGCAACGGCCGTTTCTTTGTCGTGAGCATTCCATTTTCATTCTGAGAAACACAGTGGAACGACGATGGCTTGGCCCAACGCACCGTGTCTGAAGAACGTCTGGCCATAGCCATCCCACTGACGAGTATTGCACTTCGCGAGGGCTATCTCATACCGGGAAGAAGATCTCAAAGCAAGACATGGTGAGCCGTCTTGATCATACGTAACCCTCATAAAACGATTGTGAAAAACTAAATCAGCGGCTCATTGACGAATGTGGCTATGTCATTGGCCCGGGCGTGTGGCCACACGCATCAACGCACCCCATACGAGAGCGAAGCTGCTTCAGGAACAAACTTTATAACCGTGCCTCGCAGCGTTGAAACTTTTTAACCTGCATAAGAAGTTTGCTTAACCGGAACAAGCTTCAGAGTATTTCTCCGCTAGCCAGGGGCCGGAGACGACCGAGAGGGACCAACCATGTCACGGTGAGGCACCAACGGGTTAGAACGACCAACGATCGCAGGTCATAAATCATCAATTTTCTGAAATCATACCTATGTACACAGTACCAATATTTCCCCTGTTTCCGGCCAAAGCCATCCCATACCACACCAGGCACCGTCAACCCCTTATTCGTCACAGTTCGGTATCAAACCACCAGGAAGAGTTACCGAGTTAAAAGGTTTAGATTGATTACCCACGAGCAATGAAATGACCGTTATCGATTTGAATCCAAGCTGTCTGTTCCCGTGTGATCGCTATCTCCGTAGTGTACGCTAAACTCAATTCCCTGCACAAAGTGACTCGTCAACACAAATTCACTCGGCTTGATTTCTCGACGGAACGGCTAGGGGCAGGCCTGCCGCTCCGGCTGGCTTCGGGGGAGGGGCGACACCAGGCTTCGGAGGCTGCGTGCCGGGCTTGGGGCCCTGAGCACCGCCAATGAGAGCACCGGCCTCGATGGCTCCCGGGGGTGCGGGAGCCGGGCTATTTGGATCGGAGCCTTTTTGCGGCGCGGGAGCAGCGGCCGGTGGTGGCTGCTGCTGGTTCGGTGTTGCTGGGGTGCTGCCCGGCTTGGGCTTGACACCACCCGCAGCAGCACCAGCAGCAGCACCACCTCCGACCAGAGCCCCGGCCGCGACGGCTCCGGCGGGAACAGGAGCGGGTTGGTTGTTGTTTGGTGGAGGCTGTTTACCTTGAGTAGCGCCAGCTGCGGCAGCACCTGCGTTGGCAGCGCCAGCACCAGAGGCCTTCTTCGGAGCGCCTGCGGGAGGAGCGGCTGGGACAGCGGCGGGCGGTACGGCGGCAGGAGGAGCGGCGGGCGGAGCAGCTGGTGGAGGAGCAGCCGGAAGAGGCGGGTTGCTGGCCTTGGCTGGAGGAGTCGTCGCCTTCGCCTTCGCCTTGGCCTTCGCCGGGGTGGCAGCCTTCGCAGCCTTCTTCGCGGCCTTCTTGGCCTTCTTCGCCTTCTTCTTCTTCTTCTTGCCGAGGACCTTCTTGAGCAGGCCTAGCAGCTGACGGGTCTGGAGTTCGGTGTCGTCACCGCCGCGGGCGGCCAATGCAGCATTAGGCTGTTCAACAGCGGCTACATCGCGACCATTGATCTGGGGAATGTCGGCCTGGGGGCCAAGTTCACTGATTGTGTTAGTGACCTATTACCTGTAACCTCCATCACGTGTGCCTACTTGAAGTCTCCTCTGGCGACGTCCGTTCCAGCTGGGGCACCGTTGATGCCGACCAGAAGGGCCGAGGCGAGCAGGAGTAGGGGAGTTGAGAACCTCATCGTAGTGAGTGAACTAAATATTGACTAATAGTATGATGAAAGAGAGATGAAGTATCTTTGACCAAGTCAAGCTTGGTGGCTCAGTGGGAAGATTTTCTCGTATCTGCAATGCCTTGGGGGTGGGCGTGAACTGAGGGACCTGCCTGCTCCTTCAAAAAAGAGATTGGGTTGGGCCATCTTCCTTTAGTAGTTTCTCTGAATGGCCTCGACTGTGTATTGTTGTCAGGGATACTCTACCCTCGTCCAAACCTTGGGCGAAGTCGTCCACACTATCCCAACATGCGGGTGTGCCGATCGATTTGTCGCGATTTCAGATTAAAATTCGCCGGAAGGACGACTCGCGAGTCTCTGAAACCAATAATCGCAACTGCAGAGAAGAGAGAGAGATGCCAAAGTTCACCGGTTCGAAGTGCCCGACCCCGCGTGGATTCGCGCCTCCGCATGTTGCCGGATCGACGGGGACGGGGATACCACCTTGCATTGGAGTTTGTTATGGATCAGCGCAGATGAAGGCATTGCCCTGCGACGCCCGATATCCTGACTTATTCGGGCGAAGTGGCGTTTCGCTGTGGTGTTTCGGGGGTGGGGAGGCTCTCCTCGTCTGATGTCGACGATAGGCAAACTCCTGCAGGAGGAAGCGAGAGATATCAATTCGTCCCATCTGATGTCGTTTCAGTCCCCCTTCATTGGTGGTGTGCCTGAAAGGCGAAGCTCCTCACAGTCTTCGGCAAGCGGAGCCCTGGTCTTAAGCTTACATAGGGCACGATGTTGCGAGCGACCGGGGCATCCAGGCAGGGGGATGGCGGTCATTGTGGAGGGGAGCCAACTGGCGGTTCGACTTCGCCCGATGCAGGCTGGAGGCTTCGGGAACCTTGCACCTCTCGACCTTTCCCTGATTCTGACGATAGTTGGAAGTTAGGTTTGTGTTAGTTCCACTTCGAAAACGTTTTGGAAGTCAGAGGGCGCGCTGCGTGGCCTGGGTCTTGGTTGGCCACCTGCAGGCTGGGAAGTTATTCATCGTCTGCCGAAAAAACTAAGCTTCTCAGCCCATGCGTGGGAGAAAATTGTATTCGCCCGGATCCATCTCGTCCTAGAACCCACGTTGTCCCTCGCGCGGGCGCGCGGAGAAAGGGGGAGAGATCAAGGGCAGCATAGTTGGATTAGCTTGCGGCTCTAAGCAAAGTTTTGCCTTTGCTCACGCAATGCCAATCTTGCGTCACGAACGAGGCAAAATCGACGTCGACTCCATGATGCGACTCCACGTCGTTGGCAATCCCATATCCACAATCGCGAACAGTGCTTCCTTGAACGTCAAGCAATCCTCACAACGGTGACAGCTGCCGTGTGGAACGACAGTGGGTTGCTTCAGATGGCGTTGAGAGGAAGCGCAGCATCTCGTAGCGAACCGCAGTGCAACAACAGACAGGAGACAGTCAGATGACAAGACCGGCGCTCATTCCTGTTCTCATGCGGATGCCGTGGCAGTTCCATTCGCAGTTGAGACGGCAAAGCAGTTGTCCGCTCACGGACGTGCCTCGGAGACCAGCAGAACATGGCACGACCCGTGTGTGGTGGCCCAGGTGCGGTGCATGAGTGCGCGGGCAGGCATGGTGCGAGTTCATGTGTGTCCGACGGTGCTCTCCCAGCGGCTTGGGATGCGCCCACCGGGATCGACGCCAAGCGAAAATCGTTTCATGCGCCTGTTCGAACGAGGGAGGATGGGCAACTATGGCCGACAATGGCTTGCCAAGACTGGGTGTTTGGGACTCTTGCATGGGGTGATGGGTGATAATGGGAGGCTGTCTTGACTTATGCGGAACGAGTGAGCGTATCAAAAGACAGGATGTTATTTCTGGCGGATATGCAGGTACGGCGACGATGGTCCAGTGATATTCGGTGCTTTGTGATCTCGTGTGTATGTTTATTCGTGAGTGAGGCGGCTGTCGTGTGCGAACAGAGTTTATGAGGGCTGTCGCGGCTGTTCCGTCGCATCTCTTCGCCTCGGGGCGGAGATCTCGGCAGTCCCAATAAGCAAGTCATTGGGGCTCCCGCTTCAACATACACCGCGAGGATGTCTCCGCGCAGAAACGCATCCCACGGCAAGGCAAGGACCTGTCGCAGCATTGTGAGAGTAGAGCCCTTGGAGAATCAGCGTGTGGTCCAGGCCCCCTACTCTACACAGCCACATATGCATATTCGGCGGGGAACGTTTGTTGCACGTGTGAAAAGACCCCGGCGGATGTCGCTATTTTCAGGATTAAACATGCTCAATTAGATGGGTCCATGATCTCCCAATCGGATCTAGCCAAGCTCTGGGCTCAATCTCGTTACCAAAAGAAGGGTCTCTTAGAGGTGCATGACCGAGTCAACGAAGGCCTGGAGATGGTTATGTCATGGCGTCCGAGAGCGAGCTGCTGCTGACGTACGCTCGTCAGGCACGAATAAGGGCAGGAAAACTGGTCCGTGAGGAAAATGAAGGCATCACGAGCCATTCGCAATGATGACATACGCAGTCCGAAGGTTCCGACCGCGAAATTCTTGCGTCCGGAGATGAGCCGGAGTTGGTCCGAATCCACCGGCCGGAGTCCTTGCCGCCCGGAGGTACGTACCGGTCTCCACCAACGGAGTTTGCCCCGCAAGTCACCGGAGTACAGTCTTCTCTTCCCCGCGCGATCCTTCTCGGTTCCCATCAGCTTGGTAAGACACTTGGATCGGTATTTTGTGCAACTCGCGCTCAATAATCACCCGCATCCAATTGCTACCGATAATGGAGCTGTGCTGAGGACCTGTCTCTCCGCCCATGCTGCATGTAACCGAACCACTTCCCAATTATTTACGTCATGACTTTTCTCCCCCGGCTCTTATCAGAATGAGCTGCCTGTCCGGGTCGAGGACGCAATCAATCTGTGCCGGCTCAAGCTACGCGATCCCCGGAACTGCTTATCACTCGCTTGCCGTTGTCGGTGCCGTGCCGAGAGTAAACCACGCGATGCACCGGTAAACCGTGCTAGACATGCAGGACGAGATTGGCCTGACCGGGATATCAACATGCATTTATATGTGCTCGCGTCCAAGTTATGGTCCGAGCAACCTCAGGAGCCCGTGAAGCATCACTCAACACCAGCCAATTGAGCTGGTCCCAAATCGCCGACACTTGCCTCCCTCTCCTCACCCTCAAACATGGCTGTGCAGCGGCCGTTTCTGGCCGTGGCTCTGATCTGGCTTAGATTCGCCAGCATCGTCAGCTGCTTGACTGGTGCGTGTCGGCCGACCAGTCACCTGTCTCACGTTCGTGAATTGACTTTCGTCTCAGTCAAGGGGACCCCGTTCCCGAGTCTCATTGATGCTAACATCGATGAGCTGGCGGAAGGTCTGGAAAACGGCCTCTTCACCAGTGTCGATCTTGTGAACGCCTATCTTGGGCGCATCGGCCAAGTCAACAGCACCTTGAACGTCGTGACGGAGGTTAACCCCGACGCAGTCTCCATCGCAGCGGACTTGGATGCCCAGCGGGCCAATGGCACTATCAAGGGACCGCTTCATGGGATTCCAATCCTCATCAAAAACAATATTGCGACGGCTGACCAGATGAATAACACTGCCGGATCATGGGCTCTAGTTGGCGCCAAGGTTCCCCAGGACAGCTTTATGGCGAAGAAGCTTCGTGAGGCTGGAGCGATCATTCTGGGCAAGACAAACCTCAGCCAGTGGGCAAACTACAGAGGCAACAATACCAGCAACGGCTGGTCTGCTTACGGCGGACAGGTTTATGCGGCCTACTATCCGCAGCAAGATCCCAGTGGAAGCTCGAGTGGCAGCGGAGTGGCATCGGACTTGGGACTTGCCCTCGCAGCGCTGGGCACTGAGGTTTGTTATCCTTGAGTGAATGATTTCTCATAGCTCAAACTGACAACATGCAGACTGACGGTTCGATTATCTCCCCTTCACAACGCAACAACCTTGTGGGGATCAAGCCCACAGTCGGCCTGACTTCTCGACATCTCGTGATCCCCATCAGCGAGCACCAGGACACCATAGGACCGATGGCCCGAACGGTCAAAGACGCAGCCTACATCCTCCACGCCATTGCCGGTGCAGATCCCAAGGACAACTACACCTCTGCAATCCCCAACAACGGCGAGATCCCAGACTACGCAGCCGCTTGCGACATGTACGCCCTTCGCGGAGCCCGCATCGGCATTCCGCGTAACGCCATAGAGCTCTTCTCCGACAACACCACCGGCACAGAAACCGACGCCTTCGAAGCAACCCTTGAGGTCTTCAAATCAGCCGGTGCGACCATAGTCGACAATGCCAACTTCACCGCGGCAGCCCAGCTAGCCAACTCAACCTCGGAGACAATCGTGTTGAACGCAGACTTCATCACCAATCTCGCAGCCTACCTGGCCGAGCTCAGCTTCAACCCCAACAACGTGACATCTCTCGCGGATGTCCGCAAATTCACGCAGTCTTTCGGTCTTGAGGACTACCCAGACCGCAACACGGCCATCTGGGACGACGCCCTGGATGTGCAGGGCTTCAACAACACAGACCCGCGGTTCTGGGCCGCGCTGCAGGAGAGCAACTACCTCGGCGGCGAGGGCGGCCTGCTTGGTACTCTGGAGAAGCACAAGCTCGACGCTGTGATCCTGCCGACGAGCTTCTCCAGCACCTGGGCGGCCATCATCGGGGCGCCGGTCGTGACGGTCCCGCTTGGGTTCTACCCGGCGAACGCGACGGTTATCAAGAATCGGAGGGGCAATCTGGTTGACACTGGCCCACACGTTCCGTGAGTACATCGATGGAGTTTTGAGCGGTTTGCCATCAACTGACAGATGTTAGGTTTGGAATCAGCTTTCTTGGGGCCAAGTTCCAGGAGGCCAAGCTGATCGGGCTAGCGTACGCTTATGAGCAGAGGACGCTGACTAGATCCAAGGTCCAGCCGTACATCACGCCGAACATTGAGATTGGCGACTATGCTGGGTACTAATTGAAGTTTT